TGCCGGAAGATGTTGCCAGAAGATCAACATTTTGCTGCAACCCCTTTCTGGCAATATTGCCGCAAAACTAATTTACATACGAAAAACGATATAGCCGCAATATTGCGGCAATGTATTGCCAAAATGTTGCTGCAATACTGCAGCAATAAAGCCAGAAGATGTTGCCAGAAGGTCAATATTTTGGTAAGGGAACATACTCAGTTTGTGTAGATTCAGGTTTGTTCAAATCATATCTACTCGACTTAAGAAAAGGTTACTTATAAAATACTGAACTAGTGAAAGTGCTCAGGTGAGTGATGTGGCCCATGGGCCTCTTGTTTTAGATTTCAAATTAATTTGCTGTTTTACCATAATCTTTTTGCTATTGCACGCCCCTGTGGCTCCCTTTAACTTGCACACACACACATACAATATAACTAGATTTTTTGATGATTTTTTCCAGTTTTTGGATCTGCTGAAATTTTAGGGTTGAATTAATTTTTTTTTTTAAATTGGCATAAAGCAAGTTATAAACCAAGATGTTTACCATAACAGCCTCACACCCTGTCAATTATCTTGAGTATAAGCCAAAATTGTAAAGTATAAATGCATGGACCTTTAAATTTGGTAAACAAGCTAGCTTGCAAAGTTTTTGTAGCTCAACATGTGCATGCAGGTGTAACTAGCATGAATAGAATCTTACCCTTGTAGTTCCTTTAAGGTTTGCTGTACGACAAGGTGTTTATTGGTTAATAAGGACAGACAAGTCGGAACTGTAGACGTGACAACCATTTAAGGTTTTATGGTGAGTATTTCTCTTTTTTATAATTTTATAGGTATATTTTTTTCTATAGAGACTCTCCTGTTATTTTAATTCAATCTGTCAGTCTGTCAAAAAAAAAACTTTAACATTGGTCATATTGACCTTTGAATGAGGAAGGATAAGGTTTTCGTTCAGAGAAACCTGTGTACCTGTTAATTGGACATGCAGATCAGCTTGCTGGGAGATGAATTTCGTGTCGGAATAGACAGAATTTAGATTGTACAGTGTAGAAAGCATGGAAAAAAAGGAAAATGGGAATTGAACAAAATCAAATGTCGGAATTCAAAGTGTGATGGATTTGCACAGATGTCAGATATTGGACAGTTTTCAATGTATTTCACATGTATCGTTACATTACCTAGCTTTGACAAGACCTCAAGAACCATGAGTGAAGACTCTTTACCCATTACTGTGACCTTATTAAAGGTTGACTAACATTTGGAAAATCGAAACTTTTGAATAAGAGAAGTAAGGCTTAATTTTCATATTTGACATGATCACATGGTTTTTGACCCTGGGACCTTAAAATTTTACCTGCTGTTCAAAACTTCATAACCATTGGTGATATTTTTGAATAAGAGAGGGCATTGATATTGGAATTGTGCATTATATATTATAGGATCTATTCAAACTATGGTTTTGGACTTCTTGACCTTGAACTTTAACCTACAGATTCAAGTTTTGTATTATATATATATATTTGACATAACTCGCTCAGATGAGGGTATAAGATCCATGAACATTTGTTAAGTTTGTTTATTGAATCTTATCGTCATACTTATTAACATTTTTAAGGCTGTATATTTTAATGTTATATTATAATTCTTTTTTCCATTTCTTTAGTGAAATTTTTAAAGACAATGGATGACTCGGTACGAGGTCAGGAACTTATTGTTTGTTCCAAATGCAAAGAAGATGCTGTAGAATATTTTTGTTTCTCTTGTGAATTTGATCTTTGTCGCAAATGCAAACAGGAACATAACGAAGCAGTGGGAACTCGGAGCCATGACATCGGAGTATACAGAGAAAAGTACAGAGAGAGCTTGATAGACGAAAAATGTCAGCTACATCCGCAGTCTGATGAGTATTATAGCCAATATTGCCATGAGTGTGGTGTTCCTGTTTGTAAATTATGTGCACAGAGTCCAAGTCACCATAGTCATACGCTAGATGACATAAATAGCTTGTATCTTAAATACCGAGAAAAATACAGAGAATGGTGTAAGAGAATTCGACTGGAACTCCTTCCTCAAGTTAAAATTGAACAGGATAATATCGAAAAGGATCTGGAAAGGAGGAATAGACAGTTCACAGAAATATTGAAACGTTTAGAAGAACAGGCTAAAAACTTAAAAACTCTCATTGATGAGGTAGTGGGCGAACACAGAAGTTCTATCACAGATCTCCAGAATTCTCAACTCAGCACCCTGCAAAATACTGGCCAGGAGCTACTCTCGAATGAAAAAAAGTTGAACAATATACTTGAGGGATTTGAAAAATCAGCCAATATGCCTGCAACATTTTTCTTTTATGTGAAAGAAAACCCCATTGTTGAGCTAGAAATTCTGAATATTAGCAAATTACCAACACCCTATTACAAAGAGGCCAATTTCAACAAAAATGACATTCAAACATTAATTGGGGTCATTGGAGAGGAAATGCAGAAACAAATTTCACGAACCCCATCCCGGACCCCATCAATGGAGACAGAGACTGTGAACACTGTAACGGAGATGAAGTTAAACATTCCACATATAACTCATGTTCGTCATATTTCCTGTGGAACATCAGACCGCTTGTGGATCAGTGGAACAGAAGATCTAGTCCTAACAGACATTAAGACTAAAAAGAGATTATACAAATTACCGGTCACTACAGATGGGTATGGCTGTCATTCTGTTAACTGTGAGGGAGCTTTGATTTTCATAGATGGAGCCTCCAACATCAAGAAGCTGTCAGAAGGAAGGGAGGCAGAACTTCTGATGAGAACTACAGAGCCGTGGAAACCTATCAGCATTCACTGCTCACGCTCCTCAGATACTCTGCTGATAGGGATGATCATTCCATTGAAAAGCGCTAAAGTGGTCTGCTACAACGGAGCAGGTCAGGAAATTCAGACTTTACAAAACGACCACAGAGGAAAACCACTGTACGAAGCCCCGGCATACATCACAGAAAATAACGGTGACGTGATTGTATCAGATTACAAGAGAAAGGCAGTCATAGTGACGGATAAGACGGGGAAACATCGCTTCTCCTACAGAGGTCCACCATTAGGGTCAACAACAGAGTTATGGCCTCGTGGTGTCTGCACCGATAGTCAGACAAACATCCTGGTGTCAGACTTCTATACACAGACGGTGCACATTGTCGACAACGATGGTCATTTCTTGCGATACTTGCACGTGGACCAAGGATTACGCAAACCTTTTGGTTTATGTTTTGACAGTGAGAAGAATATGGTTGTTGTGGGCTCATATGAAATCAATACAGTCCACTTGTATCATTATCTAGAATGACTTGGCAAATAGATTACTGATTGCATCTGTCTTGATGTATAATGTTTGTGATAAACAGTTAAAGGATGTTCTGTACTAAGTTACTCTGTCAGTACCATTGATGATCTTTTTAAAGCAGGGAGAAAGAAATTAGTTTGAATAAAATTATCAATGAGTGATAGTTGCTTGCTTTTTAAATTATTATTACATTCAAATATGTAATTTTTAAATATCCATTTCTATGTTAGTAAATGTGAAACAACAATTTTATACTTAAATTTATCTGTAAATCTGTATGTCAATCAATGTTGAACGACTGAAACATATAATATATAAGTCAATCAGTATACCAGATAAATAAATACAATGTAATTCATCAAAGAAAAGAAACCAAATATCTAGATAAGAATTACTTTACCTCTACTGTTTTTTTTTCTATTTAGAATTATTTCATTAGATTTGAATAATTCACATTTATGTTAACTTTTGGAAATTGACTTAGAGTTAATAACAGGGGCACCACGAATCAGAGCATCCTCTCGCAAGCATTAGAGCATAACTATAAATCAAGGCAGCATTTGACATTAAGGATCCCAATACAAATTATGCTACTTCCATTACGCATACTAACCCTACCACAAACACAAGCCCCTAATAAACCTTACCCTGGTTAATACGTTTGTATAGTATACCATATCTTCTCCAATTCCATTGCCAGGGGCAAATAATTTTTACAAGGGTAAGGTTTAATTGACATGAAATTCAGGAATAATTTTTGTTTATTAATAATATTAGCTTACACATTTTAGAAAATGCTGGATCAAGGGGAAACACTCATATTTCTTAAAGAATGTAGTGATATTATGATTCACACATATTTTTCATTGAAATAGTGAAATGAAATTCAGTATATACAGATTTATCATAAAAACATCTAGGCCAAGTTCTGTATTGGGTACAATATACTTAAGATAAATCTTTATACCAAAGGTCATTAAGTATGTTCAACTGAATGGAAACTGCAAATAACTGGATTTTTCCAAGTCCAAGGGACATAACTCTGTCAAAAATGACTTAATCCTACCCAAAACAGAAATTGGCCTAGATATTCTTATGATAAATCTGTATACCATTTCAGTAAGTGAAGAAAATAAACAGAAACTTGGTGGACCAGTAGACAAACCGACAGACAGAAATCAAGGCAATATGCCCTCTCTTCTTTGAAGGAGGGCATAAATATACCAGTATATACAATTTTTTTTTAATATGGTACATACTATCCATCCCTTGATTCATCATCCATCTCAATTTTTTTTTTTTTAGAGTTTATAGTTACTTGGGAATTGACCAAAAACCTTAACCTTGTCACTCAGCTGGAAAATCTAGGTCAGATTTAGCATCCGAAGCATCATCCATGTCTGGTAGTGTCTATCCCTAGATGCACTGAACATGCAAGTTTGATCGAGGTAGAACTTACAGTTACTTTAAATAGGATGCTGACAGTGGGGGAATAATGGAAGCTCATCTTCACTTAGGACTGAGGAGCAAAAAGGAACATCTGTCTGTTTATATATTTAAATAATCCATATTCATAGGGTCAGATTTGTTCCAACACATCAGCAATAGAGCAATTCCTCCAAATGTTCACTTTTAATCCTCTTTCACAAAATAATATAAATGGTTATGAATGAAATATCAAACCAATTTAAATCTACATTTAATATTCATTCTCAATTTGTAAAATCACTACAAATCTACATAAAAAAATCTTTCAACTTCTTACAAGGTCTTATAATTTTTTTTTTAACACTATATTGATCTATTATGATCTGTTCATGTATTGAAGATATTTTCGTCTGTCGTAATTATCCTCAATTTCTTTCTCCACTTTGATTTCTGTTTTTGGTTTCCGTCTTTGCTTTAGGGCAAGCTGTTCTTCAGGTGAAAGTTTTGTAATGTCTATTGGTAGCTGACAAAATAGTAAATAGGTACAACGAGATTAAACAGGTATCAAATGTAAAAGAAGAATGGTTAAAGCATTTTGTCCTTAATCACCACAGGTACTTGTTTTGAAAATAAATTTTGAACCCATGGTATTATAATAACATCCTTGTGTTATACTATATGTTAAAAATTTGTTTCCTGTGGTAATCACTTCTAATGAAAAAAGGAGAATTACTATGCTTAACTACTGTAAACTACATTTCAAAAGAAATTTTTTGACGTAATTAATACATATAATAATTGTTTAAGACATGATTGCACCTTTGTCTTTAAGGTAACAAAAGTACATGTAAAGTGTAGTTTCATATTTTTTTTTCTTTTAATAAGTGTTTAAGATATGTAAATCAGACAGAATCTGTAAGTGATTCCTGTTACCTTTATGATTTGTCTGGGCTTGTGGTATCTGATATTTATCGTAGCACCATTCGGGAGAACAAGGATAGTTGGATAAAGACGTTCATAATACTTGCGTTGTATTTTCGAACATGTTGCCTTGTTGCTGACGTGTCTAATACATGCCTGACAAGTGATGAGAATTTCTCTGTACCTAAAATATAGTTAGGGAAAGATTATTGATTATTAAAGTGTGTGCTCATTAGGAATTTCACTGTGCTTCATTAAAAAAACAGTGAAAAGAAATGGACAAAACTTTTAAATGCTTTAAAAAAGTTTTCATATATCTACATAATAATTACACAATATCAGCCTTTCTAAAATTCAATGACCACAATGTACGTTAAAAGTATACTACCTGTCCATAACAGGTCCAGTACAATCACTAGATTTAAATAAAATTATAGGTAGAATTACCTACGTAGCTTTATTTACCTACCTCAGGTAGCTTTATTTAACTATTTCAATGAAACTTTTCACAATTTTTCTTTTTATTTAAGAGACAAAAAATTGCAATTAAATGACAATTAATATTTATACTGCGGAGGTTTTAAAAAACAAACCAAAGCAGAGATAGTTATACATACAATTTGGAGCAAAACTGCATTGTTTGGTTAACAATTTGGAGCATGAAACATTGTGCTGAATAATACTGATCTATTATCATGTTAACCAGAACTGGACTTCTTTGTCATTTCATTCAAGGAGTAACTGTTCTAACTGCCATACGTAGCCACAAAACTTTCAGAACTTTGATTGCAATTGTGCAGAAAAAGACAATTCTTGAAGAGTGATTTTTACAAAGTTGAAAATGATCACTGCATCAACACGATATTTTCTGCACACCCTGAGAAAAATGATTTTTTATATAAATAAATTGATTTGGTAGCTAAATCTAGTGATTGTACCAGACCTGCTTAATTCACTGTAGCTGCAGATCTGTAGCGTTATGGTTTTATATATTTGTCTTTGACCATAACGCTACAGATCCGTTAATGCAAGAAAGGTGCAATTTACAGCGCAATATTTTTTGCGCACTTTGGGAGAGAATTTCTCAACGTACTAGCATTGCTAAAGTAATTACCTTTCACTCCCTAATTCTAGACACATTCTGTAGCCAATAAGTATATTTTATCAACCTCCCAACCATTTATAGTTGTCTCCACAGGCAATAAACTCGCTTGAAGTGAATTTTCAGCAATCTAACATACAATTTTAATCAAGCGAGTTTATCACTTGTTGAGACGACTATAAAAGATAGGTAGATGGATAAAATATACAGATAAGTTATATAATGTGCCTAGAATGAAGGAGTGATCGATGCTGGAAAGTGGAGAAATTTTCCCCAAAAGTGTGCAAAAAATATTGCACCGTAAATTGCACCTGTTTTTCATTACGTGATCTGTAGCGTTATGGTCAAAGACAAATATATTACATAAAACCATAACGCTACAGATCTGCAGCTAAATTCATAATGTTGGTGATATATTATTATATAAATCTTTAGATGTCAAATTAAAATATATATATATATATATACATATATATAATGGTGAGTTTCTTACAGTTTTACGTAAAAGAAAAAGAAAAGTCCAATTTTCTAAAATATTTTTTTTTTCATTAAAAAACACCAACATTTCGAATTTACTCTGATATTTCTTACTCCTTTAAGATATTATATATCTCAAAGACATTTTGGCACCTATATGTGATTCTAAAACATTATAGTTAAAAAAATTATTATGAAATCTATATTATTTGATCATCATAACGATTTAAGAAAATAAATAAAAAACAAACTTCACCTTGTCAAGAGACTTGCCATTTTTTCGGCAGCAACTATTAACTTTTACCGATGAAACTCGTATTAGCTTAGTGAAGTTCACTGAATATGTGTGACCTTACCATTTACCATTTTGTAACAATATTAAACTTATCTTAATCTCTTCAGTGAGTTATTTTTGCTAAACTCAGGTAACTGAGCCTGAATTTCGACAATAAATAATTGTATTAAATGTACGAGCTAATGTATAATATCGCTTACATCAATATTTTTTTTTTCATTATTATAGACAACAAGAAGGAAAAATAGTAAATTTTGCAACACGTGACTAACAAACACGAATTAAGATACAATATCATATACATTTATTCGAAAATATGGATATATACAAAGATAGATAAATATTTTTTGTGTTGATATAAGGGTCATGTGACTGAAGTGAAGTTTTCCAGCAAATTATTTTCATGATTTTTGAGGAAATGGTTACTAGACAAGCACGACGCTACATTTTGAGCAATTCATTATGTTGTACTGTGCTTTGTTTACTTTGTATATGTAAGTAATTTGTTTGAATTTTATGAATCAATGACTGAAAGATGCATGATGTCAACTTTTTGTGTTCATGTTTTGTCTAATTTTATATCTTTGTTTAACTCAGGTATACCTGTTGTATCAACAGAAATTGATGTAGACCAGAATGAGACAAAAGTACTCCTGATGTTCTCCAAATCAGAATTAAAGACAGTGGTGGGCGATGTCAAGGATCTACATTTGACGCTGAAGTATAGTGATTTAAATGTGACATATACATTTGCATTAACGACGTTTATTATACCTCTACTGATTTTCTCTATATAAAAAAATGTTTATTAGTCAAGTGAGCTAATCCCCACTCTGCAAGCTAATATCCAGTTATCTGCAATCCTCATTTTTTAACTTAAATTACTTTGTATTGGTATGATAAATTATTGTTAAAGGGTATATCATTGAGGTAAATTCCAGTTCCCCTCGACCAGGGCTATTTCCTTCGACTTTACCTGAGGAAATAGCCCTGGCCTTTGGGAATTGGACTTTTGCTAACTCCCTCAAAATATATATACTGTATACTTTAACTGCTAATTTAACTTTAACTGTAATTCATTATTCATAAACTGTCAAATGCCCTAACAAGTTATCTTTTGGAAAAAAAAATGTCTTCGTAGATATAGCTAGAAATGTTCTCACAGAAGTACTGAGCATATCAAATTGTCATCAAGAATGCCACCCAATATTTTCAAGCATTTGAAAGAAACTAATTCCACAAAATAGATTAAATGTGTATATACATTCATAGAGTTGGATTCCCCCTAGTATTATGGATAAAATTACATACAAATAAATAGTGTCATTCATTTTAATTTTATTATTCCCTTGCATTTTTTACAGTGATACCACTGCTAGCAATGCCACGGTGACCTTTACTTACCAGATAGGGGACACAATCAGCTCTGTGGAGAACGACCACTACATAGAGCCAGTTCCTGATGTCTTTATTTTAGCCAATCAGACTAGGACGATGTCATTCAACATTACGAGCACTGGTGTGGGCCATTTCAACCTCGGAGTCAACTCATCGTCAAAACAGTTTACTAAGTATATCATACAGTAACAATAGAATAGCTTTAAACACTTAAAAAAACCTTTTGTATGTTTTTTAATTAGATTTTGTGTTGCCTGCATAGCATGACAGACACGTATTACATAGGGACTACTTGTTCTGGTATTTGTCTGTCCAGTATCTTATCACCTGTTATGGTGAATTCAATTATACAAATGAGTTTTAGGAATAAGACCCTCTTTTTCTGTGGGCCACCTTTCTTTCCAAAAAAAAAAATCCCAAAGAAACAAACAAATACAAAACAAACAAGCAAACAAACAAAGAAAATTACTGTAGACAGATATTTCTGGACTGATCTGAGTTAATAAATTAAAGTTTAAAATATAATTCTTGCTGTGAAGGTTATATTGAACCTGAGTGTCCTACAATACTACTATTTTAGGAATGAGCCAGATATAAATTTGTACATTATTAATTCTATCTTTGTTTTGTTTTACATGTATATAAATGTCTTGATATACATTGTACTTGTAGATTATCTGAGCAGTTTGTTAGGATCACCATCGTTCATAGCTCAGCTCTGGTTGTGATTAATTCTGTGATTGGCTGGATCTACTTTGTGGCCTGGTCTGTTTCTTTTTATCCCCAGGTATATGAAAACTGGAGGAGAAAAAGGTTTGTCTAATCACTCAAGTCACATAATTATAAGGAAGGCTTTAATAATGGAGTCATTGAAACTCTGTAAAGCTTGACAGCTGAAATATGTACATATTTAATGAAAATTTAACTTTTAAAGTTAAAACTAGAATTTCTTTTACCGGTACTTAATAATTTTTGAAAATATTTTTGCAATTTTATCTGAAACTAAGTGTTTGGATATTGGCTTTTAAACACATAAACTCTCCTTACTTACAAAATGTCACACAACTTGTAAGATAAGCATTATGGTTCATGTACATCTAACTGGTGACTCTCGTAAACTTAGAATATAAATTAACTTTGGTTTACAGTGTGGTTGGTCTGAATTTTGACTTCCTTTTGTACAACATCACAGGATTCCTGGCCTACGGCTTCTTCAATGTTGGAATGTACTGGGTCAATGATGTTAAGGTAGGCTAATTTAACATTGTAAAATTTGTGTCTGAAAGTTTTATCAAAATTTGTGATACATAATGATATTAATAAAAATCTTCTCCAACTGTATCTTTATTTCTGATCTTGATTTCTTCCTTTGTCCTTGAATTTAATATTCCTCATTTTGAATTTACCTTTAATACTTTCACTATATTTGTTCTAAATATTTTTATCAAACTTAATATTATGATACAAACTAGTGTAAGCAATTTGGTTTATATTTTACTGACCTCAATTTCCCTGTGACCTTCATTTTTTTAAATTACCTGTTAGATATCTAAAACTTTAAACAAGAATGCACATAGATTAAAGCAATAATTCAAATGGTACTTCATAATTTTCTGACTTGACCTCCAGTGTCATAACTTTGTGACCTTGACTTTCTTTATGACTTTGAACTTCACTTTTTCCTAATGTTGTTGTTCCTTTATCTTACTGTTTCTATAAATTCAGAATTATCATGTAGTCTACTGTACAACTGTGAATACTGAATACCTATGTTTCATTTCTTATTTATTTACAGGCGGAATACATGAATAAACATCCAAGGGGAATAAATCCTGTACAGCTGAATGATGTCATTTTTACACTTCATGCAGTGTTCGTGACAACTATAACAATATTTCAGTGTTTTATTTATGATGTAAGTTTGCACCTTTTAAATACTTTTCAGTAAAGAGTATTTGGAAAATTTTCACAATTCTTAGGTGACCATAAAGGCTGATGTGCCTGTTATTTTAATAAATTGAAATTTAGAGGATGTGTATCTTGAGGAATAATTCAGATAAACAGCAAGCAAGGTAATCCATCAGATTTTTAACAATGACTGTTTATAATTATGAAATGATTTTATCTTTGACAGAGAGGGGGTCAGAAGATCTCTAAGATTTGTATTACCCTGGTGTCTCTAGCCTGGCTGTTTATTGTCGTGGCATTATTTATTGTTATTTTTGGAGATGACATCATCACCTGGCTACAGTATCTATACTATTTCTCATATGTCAAGCTGGGGGTTACCATCATCAAATACATCCCACAGGTAATAGTTTTATGAATTAGAGTCTGTTTTAATTACATAGGATCACAAAACAGCTCTTCTTCCACACAGAGCAGATATACATGTATTTGTCAAGTTCGTAACATTATTTTTTAAAGGTCTCAGTGGGCATATGAGTATGGCTATATAATTCAAAAGATATATAAGATGGAGGGCTCTTTCACTTATAGTGGGATTTCAAACCATTAAAAAATTTTAACATCCAAATACAGGGGGAATTTAAAAAGTGAATTTTAGCAAATAAAAAAGGGAAATTAAATAAGAAAAAAATGGAAGAAATGAACATGCTTATCTAAAATGTGATCAATCACAAGTGGCAATAGTTAAAAATCAGATAGCATACATCTACCCAGTAATGATAAAATTGGGTGGGGGCATTATAGCAACTTAGCTCAATCAAAATGGTAATTAATATCAATTCTATGTAAATATCAAAATGACGTGGCCATGCGATGTCTTGGATTCAGATAATTTTTTTCTTACTGAAAAGATACTGAATGAAAAGATTGACTATATGAAATAAAGCATGGTAGTTTACCTGGTTGCCATGGAAACGGGGCTAAAAGGTGTAAATTATAGTGAATATTGCTATTTATCAATAATTTCTAGAAAGTTCTTGATTTACCCATAAATTTTTTTTATTCTCATAAAACCTTAGAATATATAGTTTATTTAATGATACATGGTTATAAATATTTCAGTTGTCAAAATGGTGAAAAATTTCATTGAATATGACTAAAAAAGTCAATTTTGGCAAATCACCAATTTTCATGCAATAATTTCTAGAAAGTTTTTGATTTACCCATAAATTTTTTTTATTCTCATAAAACCTTAGAATATATGGTTTATTTAATGATACATGGTTACAAATATATCAGTTGTCAAAATGGTGAAAAATTTCAATGAATATGACTAAAAAAGACAAATTCGGCAAATTGCCAATTTGCTAACAGCCCAAATGCAGCAATGAAAATTCGCTTAATATCCATTCAAATATCTTGAATGAAATTTATTTCTGAGATTTAAGTTATATGAGCTCAGAGAATATAATTTTCATGTGAATTTACACTAATTTATTGAATGTGCACTAATTTAATTTAAAACAGAGCAAAATTTGCTTAATCGGAGGGTTCTAAATATAACATCCTTGTTACCATGGCAACCAAATTGAAAAGTTAGACTTTAACATCATATTTATTAAAGGTATGCCAATTGTAGTAAATGGTGTGAAATTCAGCTAAATCGGAGACATGTCATGTCCACGACCCTATTTAAAATTTTGATTTTTATAGAGAATTGATATTAATATCTTAACATATTTTTTCTCTCAATGAAAAAGTATTTTTGATATATAAGAAATAAGTACCTCTCCTGATTACACAGGCCTGGATGAACTGTAAGAGGCAGAGTACACTGGGATGGAGTATTGGGAACGTCCTCCTGGACTTCACTGGAGGCAGCTTCAGTCTTCTACAGATGTTCCTGTTAGCTTACAATAATGGTGAGTATTAGTCTATAACAATTAATGGTGAGTAGTCAGCCTTCAACAATGGTGAGTAGTTAGGCTTTAAAAATGCTGAGTAGTCAGTATGATATTTTTTAGCTCACCTGAGCAGAAGGCTCAAGTGAGCTTTTCTGATCACATTTTGGCTTTAAAAATGCTGAGTAGTCAGTATGATATTTTTTAGCTCACCTGAACCGAAGGCTCAAGTGAGCTTTTCTGATCACATTTTGTCCGTCGTCTGTCTGTCTGTCAGTCTATCTGTAAACAGGGTTTTAACATTTTTGACTTCTTCTCAAGAACCATTGGGCTAGAAAAGCTTAAACTTATGTGGAAGCATACTAAGGTAGTGTAGATTCTAAATTGTTCAAATCATGACCCCCGGGGGTTGGGCGGGGCCACAATAGGGAATCAAAGTTTTACATAGAAATATATAGAAAAAAAACTTTTAAAATCTTCTTCTCAAGAACCAGTCGGTCAGAAAAGCTAAAATTTATGTGGAAGCATCCTGGGGTAGTGTAGATTCTCAGTTATACAAATTGTGACCCCCAAGGGGCCACAATAATAAGGAATCAAAGTTTTACATAGAAATAAATAGGAAATTTCTTTAAAAATCTTTTTCTCAAGAACCTTTGGGCCAGAAAAGCTGAAACTTATGTGGAAGCATTCTTTGGTACTGTAGATTCTAAATTGTTCAAATCATGAGCCCTGGGGGTAGGGTGGGGCTACAATATGGAATCAAAGTTTTACATAGAAATATATAAGAAAAATTTTTAAAATTCTTCTTCTCAAGAATCCCTGGGCCAGCAGAACTAAAACTTATATGACAGCATCCTGAGGTAGTGTAGATTCTAAATTGTTCAATTCATGACCCCTGGGAGTAGGACGGGGCCATAATTTGGAATCACAATAGGTTATTACAAGGGGGAAATCTGGTAAAGAACAGCATGGTCAAAGCTACTCAGATGAGCGATGTGGCCCATGGGCCTCTTGTTTTAATAGTGCTGAATACTACAAAAAAAATTCTTACTGAAACTTTTTTTCTGCTCAAGTAAAAAGAAGGCATAATAGAATTTTAAACCCACTTGACTGTTTTCAATTTCATTGACTTTGCTTGACAGATGATTGGTCGTCTATATTTGGAGACCCCACTAAGTTTGGATTGGGTGCCTTTTCCATATTGTTTGACATCCTCTTCATGGTGCAGCACTACTGTTTGTTCAGGGGGAGAGATCCGTATGAAAGTCTGAACAACTACGAGGAGGTCTACAGTCCCCTCATCAAGTAACTGTCTACAGAGATAGAGATACTCAGGGCAGCTTAGGTTTGTCATTGTTTTAACAATGACAAGCTCATAGCAACTCTCCTATGTGATTCGGTGCAATATAAACTTATGAGACTGTTGTGTATCTGAACAATGACTCATTTTATATAATGAAGAGTGATTTATTTGTTATACATTGTTATAATACATGAATGGATTCTGTGAGAAAGTTGTATTTTGTATAAGTACCATAACATTTTATGTGGAAGAAAAAGTGCTTCTGATCTGTAAATCAGTCCTTCATTAATTATTAAGAACATGTTAATTTTTCTGTGATATGTGTGGATTTTTTTTTTTATATGGAACCTGTGTCCTAACATTTTTATGCTATTACTGTATAAACTGTATGCATTGTTAGAGAAAAAAACATTTTGATATAATCTTGTTGATAAAAATGCCCATTATAATACAGTCATGTTTTTTTGCATTGTTGTAATTCAATTATATTATGCATTTTTGTGAGGTCATTAAAGGTGGTTTGCAGAAAATATTTCTATACATTTAATGGAACTCTTAAAAAAATATATAATAAATATCGGTACCTGTCTTCTACTTGCTGGTTTGGGCTCTGCTTTTTGTGTTTGTGTGTATATGTGGAGATGGAATTGTTTCCCAGATTGATGGCAAAGCCAATATTTCTTTTTCGCTCCTAAGAAGATTATTGAGGAGCACATCATGAATGGTACTCTGAAATAATATATATATTTATGGTATAAAATGAATGATATAAAATGAATTTTTACAATCCCCACTCACACACACACATGCACTAAAGGCCTAGTGACAAATTGTGGGGAAAATGGGATTATATTTATTTACCGAATAATTTTCTGGAAATTTAAAGTATTTGAAAGTAAAATCCATAAACCAGCTTAAAAGCTATGGTCTTAACTTCTTAATACATATTTTCTCTATATATTCTTATAAATAGTTTACAAGTATGAATCTATTATAATTGCCAATTTAACTTTCTGAGGCCTGTTTTATAAAATAATTTATAACCAAAACAAAAAAAATCAGGAGATAGTGAAATTTTACAGAATAAATGATTCTGTTGGAAATTGCCATTGTTAAGGATTTTTTCTTCATTTCTTTTAAAAAAGGTAAAAATCATTTTTAATAAAATGCAAATTATAAAGCTAGTAAAAAAATTTAGTTGTAAGTCCTTTTTGTAAAACGACCCTCGTCTCTGCTAGGATTATTTAAAGATGAATTCCTATGATCAAGTGAAAGGTGATATAGTTTTCTCCCCTGGCAGGTTGCAAACTGGGTAAGCATCACACAACATACAATAAAATACATTGGACCATAATATGCAGCTTCCCAGCCAGAGACCCCCCCCTCCCAAAAAAAAAAAAAACAACAGCAACAAAACTAATAGCAAATTTTTTAAAAAATCTGATTTAATTATTATTGGAACTTCCACAGATAATTAAAACTATACATGTCGAGCATTGCATATACAATTACAAAAAAAATCCGGAAAATCAATCCTTTCCTATTTGAGTGTTGTATGTGCCAAGAGGAAACAACTCTCTGTCAAATAAGTCTCAAATGCGATGGCAGGAAACGGAGAAGTTATTCAGCGTTCTTGCGAGACTCCTGGCTGTGATAAGGATGCCAAACTACAGTGTCCAACGTGTATAAAACTTTCTATTCCCGGGTCATTTTTCTGTTCACAGGTTTGTTACCGTAAGAGCACAAACTTGCCTCAACCCGTATTTCCTCTGAAAAAGAAAGAACATCAAATACATCATATCTTATGAGTTTAGAAGTCACGTAACATTTCAATAGATAAATGTATATTTCAGGAATGCTTTAAAGGGTTCTGGAATGATCATAAGAAAATTCACAAAAAAGCAAGTAAGTGTAAATTCTGCAACAAATGACGAATTTATTTGCAAAATTATATGTATGGATTTTATGTGTGAGTTTTATTTTATAGTCTTCACAAGTTAATTGAGCAAGTCTGTTATTTTGATATTAAGTGTAAACAAATGAAATCAAAAGAAAAATAATTTTATTGTGATATATCCTATTATTTATATATACCTTTAGTCACAAACAATTGCAATGTTTTTCCACCTAAATTATTAAATTATTGCAATAAAACTGATATATTCTTACTTAATTTGTTTTGAAAAATGATTTCAAGGTGTAAATCGTTTTGCATGGCGGATAGCAAGTATCGAATTAATTGGCATAAAAACATCGAATTAGAATGAAATAAATATGTGTGGGTTTGTTAAATTTCTTTTATTTTTTTTGAATTTTTTTTTTTTTTTTAACAATCTTAACAACAATCTTAATAATCTTAACAACAATCTTAACAACAAATATTACAATTAACAATAACATTAAAACATTTTTTTTTCAATTTTATGATTAAAAAGTTCAGTGATTGAGATCAATTAAATCAGGTCAAACACAATGAGGGCATTTGATTTGTGTGTCTCTTCTGATTACTTTTTCCTTTACACAGTAAGACAGTTAATTTCCACATTTTGATCAAAAACATTGTACGGTTTGACTTTAACTGTTCAGGCTACTTATCGTAAAACACTAATAAACAGCTAATGATTCCTTGTCTGACAAATCAAGTGATGGACAAGAGGAAGTATTTGAAAAAGCCTGCTATATGTTTGAAGGAGCAATTTGTTCATGGATTTTGCTTTGATTTTTTCCCCATATTTACACATTTTCTTTGGTTGAGTGTTCTAACTTTTCATTGTATAAAGGAAAATTTTATCAAATACATTATTTTCTGTTATGGCTTTCCCTGCAATTATTGAACTAAGATTTCTCCTTGGTTTTTTTGCCTTCTCTACGCTAAGAGTACCTCGTTTTCCATGTACACATGTTGAAAAAGCTTTCAAAAACTGTAGAAAACGTTTTCATCAGTGGTAATAAAATAGCTGTCATTTTAGTTTTGCTTATGTTTGTTGCATTTATATACATGAAAAGCAAAGTGCTATTTTCAGGTGATTGTTGATGGATTTATGTACCGGAATAGATAAATTCTTATTAAGGGCAGTGTGATTTGCACGCAAGCCTGCACACATCATACCTTGTCACTGATCGACCGACGCTCTGTCGCATAAAGAGTTAAGCCCACGAATTTTCTCTCTAAATGTTTATATAGTGGACAGATTTGGACCAAAACAGTATATATTGGATAAATGTATATTTCAGACAAACAGAATGCTTTAAAGGGTTCTGGATTAATGAAAGAAAATTGTGACAAAAAAGCAAAAGTGTCCCGGTTTCAACCAATGACGAATTTATTTGCAAAATCATATGTATGGATTTAAGTGTGAATTTTATTTTATAGTCTTCACAAGTTAATTGAGCAAGTCTGTTTTTTTTATATTAAGTGTAAACAAATGAAATCAACCCAATAACAGTAATTGTTTAATTTTATTGTGCTATATTTGCTGCAACAATGTTGTAATATGTTGACCCACAGTATTTATTCCCTTTTCATCAACATTGAATATAAGTTGAGGCTTATCTCTAGTCCATACCTGTTAATGATGGTTTTCAACTCTTCAAAGTACTTCACATGACATATTTAAGTTGCATACCAAATTGAAGCCAAGAACATTTTATTTATGTTTTATCTGCACTATCCATTAAATCAATACCAGTTGATATTATTTTTTTTTCCCCTTTTCCCTTATACCAAGATCTACCGCTTAAACAAGTGAGGATTTGTGGGTATATCATACTGTAAAAATTTCTTTACATGCTCCACTATGTAAAATTTGTTCCTGGGTAAACAGAGGAAGTTTCTCTTTGCCCAGATGTTTCTCTTAAAGTTGTCAAGGGAATTTGAAAGTGGCGCTTTTTACTGCTTGGTAACATTATCACTGTTAATAGTTTTATAATTATCATTATGGAAAATATACAAAGAAACAAACAATAAAATCGGACACAAAACTGTAAAATTTGATAATCTTTTTGATAAAATATCATGCTTCCATTTACTTTATTTTTTTAAGATGAAGTCTGCCAAAGAAGGCTTATGTATTCTTGACCATAACACAGAGCTTGGCCAACAGACGACAACATAGGTTGATCAGATGTCGTTTTCAGACCACACAAGTAGTAAGTTTATGGGTGGGATTTTTTTGCATACATGTAATAAAGGGCGAAATTTACACAACAGAAAAATAGAATCTTACCTCTCTGAATGGCATATTTTTCAATCTTGTTGGCTTAATTAATACGTTAGTGTACGTTTTATTTGATATTATCTCTGCTTTAATAAAAAAGTAGCCTATCGAAATAGGATTTCGAAAATAGGTGCCCAAACGTATGTACCAAGAATATCGTAATATGTTGACGGTGCTATACTGTTAGGGCGAGTGCAGATAATAATGTATAAGATGTTTTAAAACAAAATTTTAGTGCATATGAGTCTGACGTCACATGACATCTGTGTTTAAGTTGCATACCAATCAGTGAAAGGCAGACTTTAATAAAGTCCAAGAACATTTTATTTATGATTTAACTGCACTATCCATTAAATCAAAGCGAGTTAATATATATTTTTTTTTTACGTTATTCTCACAAGAATGTAGCTTAAACAAGTGAGGATTTGTGGGTCCAAAAGTCACTGCAGAAATTTTCTAAAGGATCAATGTATAAATCTGAAGTTTCTCTTTGCCCAGATGTTTTTGTTAAGGCTGGAATTTGAGTAGTGCTTTGTGCTGCTTGTTACGATCACTGTTAATATCTTTATAATTATCATTATCAAAATATTATTATAAAATCTTTCTCCTAGTTTATTTGATAATCTTTTTGATAATATCATGACTGATTTATTGATATGTATCTGTAGAAGATGAATCTGCAAAGAACAGTGGTGAATACAACCCTTGGCCTGGATTTAAGTTTACAGGTGTACTCAGACCACACAGAGTAGTAAGTTTATGGGGGTACTCAGCCAGCACGGTACATGTAATAATGTACATTTACAAACAGAAAAAAAAAGAGTCTGAACTCTTAATGTTGTATAATAATTAAGTACCAGTAGTGTACGTTTCATTTGATATTATCTCTGCTTTAATAAAAAATATGTGAAATTTTGTAGACACCCAAACGTATGGTTCCTGACACAATACCCAGACCTGACTATGCAGAACATCCAGAAGGTGAGTCCAAAAATATAATACATGTATAAGATGTTTTAAAACAAAATTAATATGAGTTAAGTGTATGACAATTCTATTTCTTATGTGTGTTAGGTATACCCATCAGTGAGAGGCAGATGAGAGGGTCTACAAACATAAAGATTCTGTCAGACGAAGAACAGGAAGACCTTAGAGTCACCTGTAAGGTCAGTATCTACTCAGAGGTCAGGAGGACTTGAAGGTCGCCTGTAAGGTCAGTATCTATTCAGGTCATAAGAGTTGCCTGTAAGGTCAGTTTCTACTCAGAGGTCAAGAGAGTCACCTGTAACGTCAGTATCTACTCAGAGGTCAGGAGAGTTGCCTGTAAGGTTAGTATCGAACACAGGGGTCAGGAGAGTCACCTGTAAGGTCAGTATCTACTTAAAGGTCAAGAGAGTCGCCTGTAAGGTCAGTATCTACTCAGAGGTGAGGAGAGTCGCCTATAAGGTCAGTATTGAACACAGAGGTCAGGAGGACTTCAAGGTCGCCTGTAAGGTCATTGTCTACTCAGAGGTCAGGAGAGTCACCTGTAAGGTCAGTATCTACTCACAGAGGTCAGGAGGACTTCAAGGTCGCCTGTAAGGTCAGTGTCTACTCAGAGGTCAGGAGAACTTGAAGGTCACCTGTAAGGTCAGTGTCTACTCAGGGATCAGGAGAGTCACCTGTAAGGTCAGTATCTACTCAGAGGTTAGGAGGACTTGAAGGTCACATGTAAGGTCAGTATCTACTCAGAGGTCAGGAGGACTTAAAGGTCACCTGTAAGGTCAGTATCTACTCAAAGGTCAGGAGGACTTGAAGGTCACCTGTAAGGTCAGTATCTACTCAGAGGTCAGGAGAGTCATCTGTAAGGTCAGTATCTACTCAGAGGTCAGGAGAGTCACCTGTAAGGTCAGTATCTACTCAGAGGTCAGGAGGACTTGAAGGTCGTCTGTAAGGTCAGTATCTACTCAGAGGTACTACTTGGAGGTCCCTTTTAATAGGTAGATACACCTTAATACTGACTTAAACTGACATAGCTTCTCCAGGTTGTTAAAAGGAGATGGGTGAACTTAACGTGCAAAAAACCCACAAGCTTCAGATATATAAAAATCATTTTCAAATTGTGATTTTAGTATTTAGAGTAAAGTTCTCATTATTGAATTTTGTAAAATCATGATAAACAAAGAGTTTTGAGAAAAAATTTTCGTTAAAATTTACTCTTTTATTAAGAAAAATAATGTGGTATCCATTGGGTTCGAACCCTGGCAATAAAAATCCTGAATTGCATTCTCTATTGAGACTGGCACGCTAACCACTACGCTACACAAGTCCTGATGAAGTGTGGCATTTAAATCATGTTTGTGATATGACCATTGACTTAAGGGACTTCAAGTATTTCTCGAAAAGATACGAAAGTTATGTCATAAACTTATATTTTTCAGGTATAGTGGGTCATTGCTCCATAATTTTGGAAACCAAAATATGTATGTTTTTATGTAAGCTTTCAAAAAAAATGGAGAGAAGACCCACTCATAAAGAAAAATAGTTATAGTGTGAAAAAATGACTCGTTTTGTCCTCTTTTGTGTGTGTATAATATTTCATAGGCAAATAACTTCAATTTTCATGAGATTTGTGCAAGTTGTAGAGATTTTACACAAAGTATACTTTAATGTTAGATGAAATATTAAGGAAAATTTTGACAAAATTGAGATTTAATTTTTCACCTTCATGTTTGTTGCACTATGGGCTTATCTCTCGTCATGTTCACCCATCTCCTTTATGTCCACAATTTTCAATCTCACAACTGCTTATCTGTAATATTACAGCCTAAGCCAGTGCAATAGAGTGACTTAGCATATCAAACAATATTTTCAATGTGTATTTACAGTTAGGAAGAGAAGTGTTAGATATAGCAGCTGATGCCACAGCAGTGGGTGTTACTACAGAGGAAATAGACAGAATTGTTCACGAGGTACATAATTTATCATCATCTTTGCACAACAAAGGAGTTGAGCTTTTTAAAAATAAGTTTTAATTAAGTAGAAATATTGAGATCTTGATTTCCCTTAGTTTTCAATAAAAGAATTGGTAATGATGTTTATCAGTATTGTTCTACTTGAAGTAGAGTTATGCAATTTAATAGGATAAAAACAAATGTACAAATGTTGACTTTTCTAGGCCTGTATTGACAGACAGTGCTACCCATCTCCACTAAATTACTACTGCTTCCCCAAGTCATGTTGTACGTAAGTATTCAGTCTTATTGTTTAAACATGATACATCATACCTGAAGCAGAATACAGGAAAAACAAATGAATTTAATCTTGCTTTAAGTTATTTCTTTAAATAAATACAAGATTATAAGTGCTTGTTCGTTATTATTATCTGATGTTTATGTTTTTCAGGTCAGTAAATGAAGTTATTTGTCATGGTATACCAGACATGCGGCCGTTAGAAGACGGTGATATTATGAATGGTGGGATATAAATTAACACATACATTAACTCTGCACTTGTCTACACAATAAAACATTCATTGTACTTATTACATTAGCTAAATTCATCCTAAGGAAATACATGTACTTTGTACCAGTATAAATACACAAACACTAATTTTTACTTTTGAAGATGGATGTTTTACATGTATGTTCAAATTGAAAGTATAATAAGTGTATGTGCATGTATTTTTTTGATTTCAGTTGACATTACTGTATACCATAGAGGGTGCCATGGAGATCTTAATGAAACTTTCTTTGTTGGAAATGTAGATGAAAAAAGTAAAAAACTGGTGAAAACGACTCATGAATGTTTAGCTATGGCTATAGCAGAAGGTACATATGATTGAATTGATGAATTTTTTAAAAAGAATAACAATGTAAGACAGCAGATTTTTGCAAAACTAAAAGTTGGTCCAATTGACAAACGTAACTATATACCTTCTGTGTGAACTTTTAAATTCTGTTTTAGTCAAGCCCGGTGTTCGGTACAGAGAGATGGGAAACATTATCCAGAAGCATGCCCAGGCTCATGGTTTTTCTGTTGTTAGGAGCTACTGCGGTCACGGCATTCATCAGTAAGTACCATCGGTACAGACAGCTTTGACCAGTATAAACATGTATTACTGTAGTTGATTTACATTTTTATAATCATTTCTTCATATTAACATGGTTTATATTTGACAGATTATTCCATACAGCCCCCAGTGTCCCTCATTATGGCAGTAAGTTTCCACGCTTTGTTTCTGGAATTTCTGTATTACCATACTAATAAGGGTCATTTACAAGTACCTATAGTTTCTATTATTCTGCTTTGTGTCTCGTTTTCAGAAAACAAGGCTATTGGAGTGATGAAACCTGGACATTCATTCACCATAGAACCAATGATATCAGAAGGTACTTATATTATCATACTCATTTTCTCTCTGATCCCATCCCCTCACCCACCAATTTGAGGGAGGGGAGGGGGTTAATAAAACTTTCATTTATCTTTAATGAGACATTCACAGAATCTTTGGTACTTAATGCTATTGTGCACCTCCTATTTTACTTTCTGATCTGACACATATTTTGGTTCTACAGAGAAAAACATGAACACAGCCATTCTCTCTATAATATGGCAAGGTACCAATCTCTTATCTGCAACTCCTCCTATGTATGCAACTAAATTAATTTAACATTTTCAAATACTTTATTACATAATACCATTGTGCCCTGATCCAACACATATTTTGGGTCTCCCAGAGGAAAACATGGACTTTGCTATTATAATCATATGGGAGATGAGGAGGGGTATCATTTAGTGAACTCATTGCTTGCAGTACCTCTAGTTTAGGTACTTGTTTAATGTTTTGATACTATTATTTAGGTACTTGTTTAATGTTTTGATACATGTACTATTATTTAGGTACTTGTTTGATGTTTACATACAATTATTTAGGTACTTGTTTAATGTTTACATACAATTATTTAGGTACTTGGCGTGATGAGATGTGGCCTGATAACTGGACAGCTGTCACTCTGGACGGGAAAAGATCTGCTCAGTTTGAACATACACTGTTAGTTACAGACATTGGCTGTGAAGTGTTAACAAGACGCCGCGAGAAAGATGGACAGCCTCACTTCATGGACAAGTTATGAGTTCTCAAATATGGATTTATATCTAACAGTTGTTTGTACTTAACAAAGTATTTTGATATGATTAAAGTGATATTAAGGAGAACAGACACCATGAAACAGCTTCCTGCTTTTAATGCTTTGTTAGGATTAATTCTGGTTATCTTTTTAATTTGTGATCACATATTAAGAATATCAAATAAAAGAAAAAGAAATATCACAATTTTGCTTTTTTTACCTATTGTTTTTTGGTGAAGATTATAGCCTCACAACAATTATGAATGTAGGTATACATTTAGATAAAAGAATTTGTTGAACTACAGTTCAGCTGCTTCCTGAGCAATAAAAAGACATTTAAACAGAGTATCAATATAATGTGGAAACAGTCCTTTTAAAATATTGTACATAAAAGAGATGTACAGTCATGTACATAATACAGTGTATATAATAATGAGACGAGTTCTGTTGTTACTGATACAAAACAAGAAAATAGTAACAAACTTTGTACCTCCTAAACTCTCAAGTCATTACGAAAAAAAACATTGGATCCTGTCCCCCCACATTAAATACCACATTTAAGTGTTCTGTGAAACATATCACAGCTAGTGTCCACAACCTGGATTCTGCGCAGCATGTATTGTGTTTTAACTCTTGTGTTTTATGGTTGAGTGTACAGCTTCTATTGCAGAATGAATCAAGTCTTCTGATGATCAGCTTCTGTGACAACACATGATGTCAGATGCTTGTTATTTATGCCAAGTTGTAGATGTCCTCAGGATGTGCTAAAGAACAGGACATGATCTGTAAAACAGCCTTTCCTCCATCCTTACTGCTTCTGTATACCTGTGTAAGAAAATACACAAACTTTAAAACACTGATGGACTGGGCTAAGTGGAATAATACTTTATTTGTAGTGCCTCAGTCCACCAAAGTATAAGCACAGCATCTCATGGAAAAATGATAATTTGCAATGATATACTTTCCAAGACAGGAGTTTTAAATTAAAGCATGATGAAAAAGGATAAACTGGGGTTGGGATTTATACACTTGGAGAGTTTTACTTCCATTAATCAATACTAAAAGAATTTTGGGTCCCTGGAACTTTGTGAATGAAAAAATTTGATGTAAGAAACTGAGATTTTGTTGGATATGGAAAAAAAAAAATAAACAGATGGATGGATAGTCATAAAATTCAAATCAATTAATTTTTTTAAGCCTAGGCTGCTGTTTTTGTACAACTCTCACGTTGAACATACTAACCTTAAAGTAGACTTTACATCTTTCTAAAAGAAACCTCCACTTGACCTTTGTCTTGTTTTCCAAATCTAATTTGAGGTAATTCTCCACCTACAACACAAAAATGAATGTCATAACTAGTTACCTTGACCCCTATGAGGTGTTCTGCTACATTTCAGTACAGGTAACACATGTCCAGTGTACCTGTGTGGTCAGACAGAGAGACAGGTACATATATATATATATAGTTACCTTGACCCCTATGAGGTGTTCTGCTACATTTCAGTACAGGTAACACATGTCCAGTGTACCTGTGTGGTCAGACAGAGAGACAGGTACATATATATATAACTAGTTACCTTGACCCCTATGAGGTGTTCTGCTACATTTCAGTACAGGTAACACATGTCCAGGGTACCTGTGTGGTCAGACAGAGAGACCGGTACATATATATATAACTAGTTACCTCGACCCCTATGAGGTGTTCTGCCACATTGCCGTACACGTAACACATCTCCAGTTTACCTGTGTGGTCAGACAGACAGACAGGTACATATATATATAACTAGTTACCTTGACCCCTATGAGGTGTTCTGCTACATTTCCGTACAGGTAACACATTTCCAGTGTACCTGTGTGGTCAGACAGAGAGACAGGTACATATATATATATATAGTTACCTTGACCCCTATGAGGTGTTCTGCTACATTTCCGTACAGGTAACACATGTCCAGTGTACCTGTGTGGTCAGACAGAGAGACCGGTACATATATATATATAGTTACCTTGACCCCTATGAGGTGTTCTGCTACATTTCCGTACACGTAACACATGTCCAGTGTACCTGTGTGGTCAGACAGACAGACAGGTACATATATATATAACTAGTTACCTTGACACCTATGAGGTGTTCTGCTACATTTCAGTACAGGTAACACATGTCCAGTGTACCTGTGTGGTCAGACAGAGAGACAGGTACATATATGTATATAGTTACCTTGACCCCTATGAGGTGCTCTGCTACATTGCCGTACAAATAACACATCTCCAGGGTACCAGTGTGGTCAGACAGACAGACAGGGATCCTATACTCCAAGTCAGCTTCTCCAAGTACAGGGGCATTGCTTATATCAAACAAGTTCAGGGCACTGTTACAACACTCAACATTAGAACATATGTAGCCATTTGCCTCTGTTATAGGATGCTTACATTTCTTACTGAAAGGAAAAAAAGATATCTATTATATGCTCTGAGAGCAGTGTTTCCCCTTTATTTCAAAGTAAAGGGTTAGAGATCAGTTGTAACAGGCTAGGGACTGAGGTTTATGAACAGAAGCTCTGTGAACCTTGTTACAAATTTTTATTTCAAAGTGAAGCGGTCAATATGACCGGTACCCGGTTCTTAGGAAAAACTCTGCGAGGGTATGATATGTATACATGTACATGTATCTTAATTCTTTGTAAAAAAAATATTCAATCCACTAGATTTGCAAGAACTTGACAGATCTTCTTCCCACCAGGGGCTCTTCAATTTGCACAAATTTATGCCCAAGCTTTCTTGATATTTCCTGTGAATATCCCTTTATTCTGATAGATAAAGGATGCTTTCATATACCAGGTAGATATTACTAATCATGGATGCCTTTGCTCCTCTTGAGAAGAAGATTTTTCCTATCAAGTAGAACTTAAATTGTCTAATATGGCCCTGTCCTACCTCTGGGGATTCCTGATTTGAACAAATTTGCATCAATCTACACTATGTAATGTAAAGTTTTAAATCTTTTTTGGCCCAGTGACCCACTGCTCTGATTCCATACTTTCAAATTGATGTACATGTGTATGTCAAACTATAAATGGGGGTTGGTAAGCATTAAATTCTAACAGTGATGTCAAAGATAACAACAGTATTTTTGCATCCAAAGGGAGACAATAAATTGTCACCTTGCACTATTTCGTTGCCATCTGAGGGCAGCAATTTCAGTTGTCATTCAGCATGTGAGGAAGACATCACAAATTGTCTCCTTGCATGTGACATGCTCGAAACCAATCAGATGGACTTTATTATTTTGGAGGATAACAATAATTGTTGAAATTCTTAAAGACTTTGAATCAGTGAAGTATAAATTCAATAGATATACCATCTGTAGGTTATGACTGAGTTAGGGTCCTCTTTGTCTGTGTTGAACTGGGACAGGAAAAGACAGCTTACACCGTACACAGTAGGTTTCCACTGGCTCTGTAAGTCAGACATCACACTCTTCACATCAGATACAGTAAACTTGTCTGTTATCTTCTCCACTGCAAATTAAAGTATTCCTTTCACTTTAAGTCAGCTTATTAGCTCAGAAGATTTAAGACCAGTCATCAAGGTTTGTTCCTAAGACCCGGGGGCTGGGTAATTTCCCATCTTATAATGAGCTTTCCTGGTTATTTTGGTATTCCTCCTAAAATCCCATTTAGGAGAGGAACCGCAGATCCCCTCTACTTTCCTATCACTCCCTTCTATTTCAATTCTTAGGGACAATCCTGAGTCACTTAGATTATAATCACTTTCTTCAGTCATATAAAATTGATGATTTTCCAAAAGAATTTTATTTTATAACAAGAGGCCCATGGGCCTTATAGGTCACCTGAGTATTGTGTAACAACTTTCAAACAATTAAATTTGCAAGGTTCGTGATTTAAACCAGAGGCCATGAAATTCACAATTTACAATTTTGAAAGAGGCACCATTGCTTATCATAATTATTAACTTAGCATGCTTACTCAATTTACTTTATACCCAGAGGTAGATCAGAGTAACAAAAAGAAAATGCACTTCCACTTTATACCCAGTTGTGCACCTCACCCTAAAGGAACCACTGACCCATGGGCCACATGTTTTTCAAAATTTTGCAAATTTTATCATAAAATGGTTGATTAATACCAAAGAGCAGATTTCAAAGCATTAATTTATTTTTCAGACTATATAACCCCCCCCCTTTCCCCCTCTGACCCTGGGGGCATAAAAAAACCACTTTGCTAGATGCACCTTTCTTCATCATAAATATATATATACTTGGATCATTGACATAAAACCCAGAAGCAAAGGAAAATATTTCAAAAGAATTAATGCATTTTTACTATATAATCAATAGAGCCCCGCCCTAACACCAGAACCCCTAACCCTGGGGCCATAAATTTCACAATTTTGGAAGAGGCACTCTTGCTCATCATAACTATGTACTTAGTTAGTTTATTTAATACACAAAAGCAGAGAAGAAGATTTTCAAAGAATTAATGCATTTTCACTGTATAATCAATAGAGCCCCGCCCTAACACCAGAACCCCTAACCCTGGGGCCTTAAAATTCACAATTTTGTAGGAGGCACTCTTGCTTATCATACCTAGTATGTACTTAGTTAGTTTATTTAATACACAGAAGTAGAGAAGAAGATTTTCAAAGAATAAATGCATTTTCACTATATAATCAATATAGCCCCGCCCTAACACCAGAACCCCTGACCCTGGGGCCATAAAATTCACAATTTTTGGAAGAGGCACTCTTGGTCATCATAACTATGTGCATAGTTAGTTTATTTAATACCCAGAAGCAGAGAAGAAGATTTTCAAAGAATAAATGCATTTTCACTATATAAACAATAGAGCCCTGCCCTAACACCAGAACCCCTGACCCTGGGGCCATAAAATTCACAATTTTGTAGGAGGCACTCTTGCTTATCATAACTATGTACTTAGTTAGTTTATTTAATACCCAGGAGCAGAGAAGAAGATTTTCAAAGAAATAATGCATTTTCACTATATAATCTATAGAGCCCCGCCCTAACACCAGAACCCCTGACCCTGGGGCATAAAATTCACAAATCTGGAAGAGGCACTTTTTCATCATAACTATGTGCTTAATTAGTATATTTAATACCCAGGAGCAGAGAAGAAGATTTTCAAAGAAATAATGCATTTTCACTATATAATCTATAGAGCCCCGCACCTAGCACAGAACCCCTGACCCTGGGGCCATGAATTTCACAATTTTGGTAGAGGACTCAATGCTCATTACAGTTCATGCCAACAGTTTGCCTGCTTGATGTCCATGAGTAAAGAAGAAGATTTTTAAAAATTGCAATAATTTTAGTGGTTTTGGCCCCACCCCTCAGGCCCCAGGGGGGCGGGGACCATGAAATTCAAAATTTTTGTTCCCCTCCACCCATAGATGCTGTATACCAAATTTGGTTGAAATTGGTTCAGTGGTTTCAGAGAAGAAGCTGAAAATGTTCAAATGTTAACACACAACGCACGACACACAACGCACGACACACGACGCACGACGACGGACGAAAACGGATAGCAATAGGTCACCTGAGTTACTCAGGTGACCTAATAAAATGTAAATAATTTCAGCATAGCTTGCAGCACATTATATTGGTGAAAGGAAAGAACATTTTAACTTGAAAATGTTCATAAAGATTATCCCACTTAGAGTCTTATAAGAGTATCAATGAACCTTAAGAAATCAGCCCCCCCCCCTCCCCCCAAAAAAGAAACATGAAATCAATGTTTGAGCTTCGCAATTGGTGCCTCCAATTCATAATTAATATTAGCAAGTTGATTTATTAATTTTGCCAAATGATTAGTAATCTTTTAAGAAGTGTTTATATACATGATAAAATCATGAGTGCCTTTAAGTACAATAATTTGCTGTATACATACAGGGTGGATCAGCCCTAGTATCATCTGGTTCCTCTGTGATGTCACAGCTCTGAGCGTACTGATACAGACTGTGGGCCTCCTGGGTGTCTACAAACAGAAATTAATACCACTGTTTTATTTGGACTTAAAACAATCTGACACAATAATGCAGAGCCCTTATGTACATGTATAATACTCATTTTCATAACATGTAACACCCAAATATACATGTATAATTTTACTTCATAAAATCCCATAGACATGCACAATTTTTTGGATAGATAGTTTTTCAAGTTTCTTCAATTAGAAGTACATGTACCAATGGTACTTGTATTAACAAGTCTAGACAAATGGACAAACCTTGTAACTACTGTAGGGCAACTGCAATTTGATGATTTATACTAGGGATGTCAAATCGGTCAATTTTTAGTACTCGGTTACTCGGACGTTTTTTAAAGATCGAGTACAATGTGTAACTTCGGTAAAAGTGTACATGTAAATAAATATGAACAAGTCAATTGATGACTGTAAAACATTGTAAACTCTTGTAGAAATAAAACCACATGCTCTGATTGGAGGTTTACCCCTAACTGTATTTCTGTTGTCAGAATGATGAGCACTTGTTACGACGAAATTAAAATAACATTTTTTTGAAGTTCAATTTAAATATCATATAAACACAAGAAATAAAATTATAAGAGGTTCACAGTGTTTTTGTAAAAAAAAAAAAAAAAGATCTACTTCGTAAATGTAATGTAACTTTGTTGCGTTTGACGTCCGGGAAATCGGTATTTTAAAGCCTTTGCCTTCAACCATTTGTTTTGGCATGTAATCAAACACAACCAATCAACAATCGCACGTGTAATATCATTTACGGCTTCTCGGAGAATTGACAAAATTATTTAATTTATTTAAACAAATTAGACATTAAACGATGTTCAGTGAAAACAAATAATTAAAGCAAACCAAAAATAAAGTAGAAGACAGCCAAAGGTGAGAAAAGCCAGATAACAGGTGCTTGGTCACGATAATTACTGTATAAACACTGTCACGGGCAATTACGGTCATTTAGAGGCGTGGGAAATCCTAATTACTGCATGTACAAGTGCAAGGAGCATTTTAAGTTATAAAACAGATTGTTTAATGCATTAATGAATAAGTTTAATTTTCAAACATTCAAAAATATACATCCGAGTAACCGAGTACCGATTTTAGTATTCAAGTTTCTTCAGTTAGACGTACATTACCAATGGTACTTGTATTACCCGGTTAACCGGGTAACTACGTAGGGACATCCCTAATTTATACTAATATGCAAAACAGTGTATAGCTGACAGAATTATTAAAGAACCTTGATATGGTTGATACCTGGGTTAACTGTAAAGACTGTCCTAGAATCAGAGGTAGCTACCATACAGGATCTGTAGCTGTCAAAGGACATGCGGGCATCTGCCACGTACAACACTGGAATACAGAGGTTATATGATTTCATTGTCAACAACTGAGATACCCATACTTGTACCCAAACATACATGTATCTTGGACTACTTGCTAAATACCTCTCTGTAATATTCTCTTATTGCACATTTACATGTACCTGGAAGTTATGAGAAGTTGACATTTATTGTTGTTAATCCTTACCTGTGTTATATGGTGTCCATGTAGAAGCCGTAGAGGCAGCCTCTTTGTCCCATCTACAGTGATCACAACAACAAGTCAATATATAAATATGCAAGTGGCTGCTAATGAAGTTGTTTTTCAAAAAATATCCTTAGTTTACAAACTAGTCACTGGCAGATTTAGAGGGGGGCCCAGGCCCCCCTTTTATGTCTAAAAAAAAATACACAATATTTAATAAATCAGTGTTTTTTTGGTGTGGCCGTGGGTCCCTATATCCTGACCTCAAACTGGTTGGCCTCCCTTTTCAAAATTTCTGGATCCGCCACTGCTAGTTACTCACAGATATGATTATGATATGGGTATGAAATTAAGCTGAAATTGGTTTTCAGCTCAGGTGAGCTATAAATGAGAATTATAGATTTGAAAGAGAACTCACATGACAAAAGGAAAGCTTGACAAGCCCTCATCCATCAGGGTCAATTCACATCTCTGAGTCTGTCTGCCTGTTTTTGTTGTAATGTCCTTCACCTCCCCAACCTGGGTCATAAAATGAATTCTTATACATACCACATTAATAAAACAATTAATGAAGGCAATTAAACTTCTGTTGTGAAATTCAAAGTGGATGTAACATTTGGTCTGATTGATTGCCATTGTATACTGACCTTTTTAAGAATGGCCAGAATGTTGATATGTTCCCCATGAAGAGCCTGACCATTGGCCACTATGTCCTCCAGACTGTAGTAATCATTGCTGGCCTTTGTGGGGAGGTGAAGGAGGGCCTGGCAATCCTCCACATCGTACCCCGTGTAAGCTGTGATGGAGGAATGGTTCTCACTCAGGGAGAAGCTGAACGGCCTTTAAACAGAACCAAATAATGACTGCATGAAATGCAACCTAATGAACAAAACTCTGGTTAAATATGAAACTTTCAAAAAACTAGAGGTATTGTGAGCAATGAGCTCACTAAATGATACCCCCTGCCTCCCAAATGTTATAATGGTAAAGTCCATGTTTTGCTATGGCTGGGAAACCCAAAATACGTGTCGGATCAAAAATTAAAATAGGAGGTACACAATGGCAATATGTAATAAAGATTCTGTGAAGTTTCATTAAATTTCACTTAGTGGTATAAGAGAAGTTGCGGATAAGAGATGGGTACCCCAAAGCGTAACAGACAGACGAACAGACAGCTGGACGTATGGACAGACGGACGGACATACCGATTACTATATACCCTCCAACTTTTTAAGCGGGGGGTATAAAAATGACCCATTAAGTGAGTTTCAAAATTTGACACATCCTATTTCTTTTGTACTTGTGTAAATGACATCTTTAAAGGTCTTGACCAGAATAAAAATATCTTATTCTTTCAATTATAAAACTCAAATGTTGATTTAAAATAAAATTTCTAGAACATTTGGAGTGGGTGAGCTAAAATTTTTTTGTCATGTTTAATAAACTTACAATGGAGTATAAGGTCTGAATTTCTCTTCACTTCCATCAGTAGGTTTTAGCAATACTTGAAAGTTGGACAGTTGAACTACAAGACAGATGCAAATTATATGTACATAATCAGTGTCTTTTAAGCCTCTTTCTAAGCTTAACAAAATATTTAAATTATCCTTTAGCAAAAATTATGTGGAATGAAATAATGACAATGAACAGTACCAATATCCCCAGTGTGGTGACAGTTTGATATTCCTGCTATGTAGGCTTCTGATCCCCAGCATGTAACAGATACAAATCCCATCGGAGAATCCCTTATAACAAAGCTCACTAGGTGCCGCTCTGTCCCGGGGTCTGAAATGATTTAAACAAATACTAATATTTTAATTTACACCCACTGAATGTTATCTTTCTTGTTTCTTATGTTATAAAAGCTTTGGGTGTTTTCCAATTAAAAATCTCACTAAATAAGCAGCTGGCCACCTGTAGAGATTTCTTGATCAGTGACTTGTCCATCAATGAAACATACAAATGACATACTTGTCAATAATGTTTAACATACTTAATCCTACTTTATATGAAATATGCAATATCAATAATAAATTGTTTTTCTTTTTTGTATTTAAATATTGAATTTAAAATATTCACTTATGTATTTCTCCTGCACCAGCTACAAGTCTCATATACATCTAAACAATTTTGAAAGTAAGGCTCTAATGTTTGAATTTGAAAAAGAAATGTCCTCTTAACTTTCTCCCCATACTAAAACTATGAAATCCCTAGTTTTTGGAGTGAGGGGGGTAGGGGATTATTTTAAATTCATTGTTTTATGGTATTAAAAGATCGAATAATCCTATCAACAGAACAAGTTATAAACAGAGGCCAATCTTAAAAAGAAAGAAATGTATAAGCATGTCTTGGCAAATATTATATACTCATTTATAAAATTAGTAGGAAAGGCATACTTACTTTTCCTTGAGATAATAGACTTGGGTGACTCTTTAGCTATTATAATTCCAACAACACTCTGAAATCAAAAAATTAAATTACTTTTTAGAGAATTTCAACAGCTTTAACTAAAGAATGTCTTCAGTTCAGTCCTTAACCTCCTTCCCCGCAGTCACACATTTCCTATTTCTGACGCAAAATCAAGCACAAATACTGTTTCCTCGCAATCATGCATTTTTAATGCAATTTCAAAAGTAAATTTAATCCTCAATTTAATGCCAATTTCCGTCTATTTTATATTTTGCTAAAATCTCATAAAATAAGAAAAGTTATAATGATATCAGAATATTGCATCATAATTATTTATGCTAAATTAGAGAAACTTGTACTGCACTGAGTATGATGTGCTTGCAGGGAAAAGAAAAAGCGTCATATTTATGTGAACACTAGTATGCTGCGTTACATTTCAGTAAGTTGTAAAGAGTTAATACAAGGAATTCTTTGATCAAAACAAATTCCAATAGAACTGGCAAGGAATAAAAAAACCTTTATGGACACCTTATTATTAGTGGATATATTATCAGTTGTTGTGCATTACAGTGGTTCATTTGCTGGTGAACATGTCACGTACTCCTGCAAACTCATTTGCCGGAAGCCATGATAGCAAAATTATTAAGGTTCTGAATCCAGGTAAAGTATGTCACATTTTTCCTGTTTATAAATTATATTTCTATGTTAATCTTTGATTGCCCTTTGTTGACTTACCCGACCCTTGGGGAAAGGATGCAATTAACTTTCATTAATTCTGAATTATCTCTTATCTCCCCTTAAAAAGAAAGTGTACGTATACTGCCCTTAACTCATTAAAAACAAACTTAAATCCCCTTTAATCGGCCTCATTTAATTGTGGCAAATTTGATTGAAATTGGCAAAGTGTACCTTGAATTGAATTTTGAAAGACTTAATTAATTATGCTTTAAATTTCCTAGGCATTCCTTAAATTGTTTAAAAAACTTTTGTTCATCCATTGTGGCCTCATCCTACCCCCAGGGTCACGATTTGAACAAACTAAAAGGGGCTCGAGGGCCATATCACTTACCTGAACATTTTGGAAAGGAAAAAAGTGGAAATCACTCGAAAAATTTAACCCCTTTTACCCAAGAATTTTCTGTGCCAAGTTTGGTTAAATTTGTCCAACACATAAATATTAAGGCCCTCATAGGCCTAGCTATAGTGCTGCGAGAAGTTTATGACAAATTACGACAAAAAAGGTGACACCAACAGAAAGCAGACAAATTAAGGTCAGAAAAGCTCACTTGGGCCTTCAGCTAAGGTGAGCTAAAAAGTTATAAATTTGATTACAATGTTTGATGAAGACTGATTGACATCTTCAATTTTCACAATGGCTCCAGCTTGTTGTAAATGTTTAACATTGAATTGGTTGTTGCTTCCTGATATACTCCGCTGCTGCTGTTGAAACTTATTTCCTCTTGTGGTCGAGGTGTTTTTAAACTGCTGGAACTGGGATCCTGAGTGACCTGACCATGCCATGTTTGTTCAGTCGTCTGCTGTTTGAGTGACAAATAACGCACGTGGGGCTAATGTATTCTTTGCAGCAAATACCTAGAAATGTGAGGTATTTCAGCAAATTATTCAAGAAAATCCTCATTTTACAATTTATTTTACCTGATAGTGACACTGTCACTTCAAAAACACCGCCAATGTGTAAGTTTACATATTTTTAGAAATCACGTGTGTTTACATCTTGATACAAGCGGACTCATGTGACCAGTTGGATCAGCAAAACTCTTTCTTACACGAAATTTTTCGCTTGGCAGATATGCATTACTGTGACCCATAACATCTGAAAATGACGGAAGAAGGAGCAGTCGAAAAGAAAAATTACTATGCTCTCTATGCATACAGTCCACAAAGGTATTGCAATTTTTCTGGTTTGAGGGAATATGGTGTAGGAGTATTTGTATGTAAAAACGATGATCAATGTTGTTTTTATGTTATTTTGAAGCAGTCCAGATAATAGTGGGGATAATCAGCAGAGCCAGACCACTGAAAACGTAGGATTTAGGTATGTGGAATTGTAGGCGAATTGTAATGTCAATTCAGTAATCATAGCTCTTGTAAATGTATGTAAATGCTAATTGGGTTCATATTTCAATGTTCACTCAATGACTCATATAACAATATGCTGCTTATGATATTCCCAAAAAATATATTGTAAACATGGTAAAATATCACATTATATTTTCCTGGGGTCAAATTTCCGTGGTATGATGAAACTATGAATTCATGGGGATTTGATTTTCGTTGATGAAGAATTGTTGAATAGTTATGTACGTAACATTTTACATTTTGTTGTCGACATAAGTTCATGGGTCTATTCATACCTCTAAAACAACGAAGATTAAACCCTGCGGAAATTTGTGATTTCACAGTATATAAGTATCATAGTGCAAATAATTTATAGGAAAGGGTAAAATCCTGTGAAAAGTTAACATCAATGCATAGGAATTAGCAAATAGTTTTTTGTTGCAATCTTCCCCTACTCCAAAAATGGACCATAAATCTTTAAAGATATAAACAATGGGAGTTCATTGAGTTAAGTTACCATATTTAAAGGTACTTGGACACAGATTTGAAGTTAATATTTTCTCATTTTTTTCTGTATAATATCACGAATTATATATTCTAATAGCATTTCACACAAAAATTAATTAAAATCTTATTTCATTTAAAAGTTATTAAAACTTTAATTTTTTTGGCGGGTTTGATTGACACATCCTTGCACTTTCACAAATTTTAACTTTATTCTTAATCCTTAGGAAAAGTGGCAATTTTGATGGTTTTAATGAGAAATATTAAAACTTTTATCAACAAAAATAATTTTATTCAGAGTAGGAATGTTAGAAAGCAAAACACCTTCACAAGTATCGTCATTCCGAACTAAGAGATGCATACAGAGTTTAGCAAATCGAGCACACTCGTGTTATGTACACAGTTTTTGTAAACAGGGCTCGAGTTCTGTTATTGTTTATATTTAGAATTCACCGGGTGCGTTCAATCGTCACAGTCTGCTTACCACAACTGCACGGACTGACAATATATTGTGTGTTTGTTTTGCTTTCGAACGTGTCTACTCTGAATTTCCTGGATTATAGTATTAATATTTTTCATTTATACAAAACGAGATTGCCACTTTTCCTAAGGATTAAGAATAAAATTAAATTTGTGAGAGTGCAAGGATATGTCAATCAAACCCGCCGAAAAATTTGAAATTTCAATATCTTTTAAACGAAATAAGATTTTTAATTAATTTTTGTGTGAAATGCTATTAAAATATATAAGTTGTAATATTATAGAGAAAATAATAACTTCAAATCTGTGTCCAAGTACCTTTAATAGTAATACATGTAAAATATTTGTTGTTGTCCTAGTTGAGTCTTAACTTTTAATGACTGTTGGGAGACTATTCAAATGGGTTTTGGAAAGTATCCAACAGTATAATATTACTAGAACCATGATTTTTAAAAAAAAAATTATCATTAAAATATCAAAATTGATCATGAATATTTGTTTCAAAGCAGCAGCAATGCTATTTTAAGTTATGACAGAAAAAATGGCTATGATCACTTAAGAAGATTGTAAGTAGCTACATGTATAAATGAAGATTTTATGTGCATTTTCCATTTTTATACCCCCCACAAACTAAGTTTGGGGGGGTATATAGGAATCACCTTGTCCGTCTGTCTGTCTAGCTGTCCGTCTGTCCGTCCGTCCGTCTGTCTAGCTGTCCATCTGTCTGTGCAATCGTGTCCGGTCCATATCTTTCTTACAGAGGGACATTAGAATCTACTACTCCACACTTAGATTGCTCATGACCTAAGAGTGTGTCATGACCTTGACCCAAGGTCACTTGGGGAAGTTCAAGGTCACTGGAAGAAAAAATTCATAATTCGTGTCCGGTCCATATCTTTTTTATGGATAAACTTGGTTGGTTTTCATTTCACACAAAGATTGCCCATGACCCAAGGGTGTGTCATGACCTTGACCCAAGGTCATTTGGGGAAGTTCAAGGTCACTTGAAGAAAAATTTCATAATTCGTGTTTGATACATATCTTTAATGGATAAACTTGGTAGGTTCTCATTTCACACAAAGATTGCCCATGACCCAAGGGTGTGTCATGACCTTGACCCAAGGTCATTTGGGGAAGTTCAAGGTCACTGGAAGAAAAATTTGGTAATTTGTGTCCGGTCCATATCTTTCTTATGGATAAACTTGGTAGGTTCTCATTTCACACAAAGATTGCCCATGACCCAAGGGTGTGTCTTGACCTTGACCCAAGGTCATTTGGGGAAGTTCAAGGTCGCTGGTAGTAAAATTACATAATTCGTGTCCGGTCCATATCTTTCTTATGGATAAACTTGGTAGGTTCTCATTTCACACAAAGATTGTCCATGACCCAAGGGTGTGTCATGTTGACCCAAGGTCATTTGGGGAAGTTCAAGGTCACTGGAATAAAAATTTCATGATTCGTGTCCGGTCCATATCTTTCTTATGGATAAACTTGGTAGGTTCTCATTTCACTCAAAGATTGTCCATGACCCAAGGGTGTGTCACGACCTTAACCCAAGGTCATTTGGGGAAGTTGAAGGTCAATGGAAGTAAAATTTCATAATTCGTGTTTGATTCATATCCACGCCTGCTAATCGATCAATTGCACAACCAGCAGTTGTGTATAACAATCAAAAGAGATCGATTTCCGGTTGTGCATTAGATGCGAATAATTCCAGTACACAGGTAGTAAATGGACCCGATTCAGGCAATAATTGATATTTTTATTAAAATATAAGAATGTGATTCCATGAGCAATTTATTTTTCGTTAATTTTACACTCTCATAAAATGCAGTGATTGTCGATTAGCGACGATATTTGATTTGAAGCAAGGGCTGGTAGAGCGAAAACGCTGATTGAAAATAGTATTCGCCGACTAAAATTCGTTTTAATCTCAACTAACCTTGACAATTCAATGTCCACCATGAGTATGCTACAAGTGCATCCTATCCACCAAAATTAGGACTTCGATATGTGTATAATTTGACAAATATTCGTAGAAAATAACATTGCTGATGCATGCGATCATTCAGTTGTGAAAGAGATCTCGGGTTATGCATGAGATTAAGGACAAAAGTTTCAAACTGTATGAATAAAATTAAACATTATATAATTATAAAGTAGTTTTGCAAAATTTTAAAAAATAACATTACAGGATTTTCTTGCAAATAAGTTGAAATTGTGAGAAAAAAGAGATATATAAGATAAGAAAACTGTTGAAGTAGATCTGTAAGGGGGGTGGGGTTAAAGTTTCAGTTACAATAAATATAATTACATTAAAAAAAAATTATGTGTGTATTATTTAGATCATAAATTCTGTGTGAATTATCCAATGCATCTTTAATATGGCTATTCCGTATGCAAAAAAAAAAAAAAGATAAAATCAACAAAAAAAAAAACAGCAATTATATATAGACTTCTTTCAGTACGAAATTGTTTAACTCAAACATACCTTATCTTTATTTGACAGTACTGCAACAAAAGTGGAGGGAAAGACCGAATTTTTCATACTTTCATTTCATATATATTTTATAGTAAAAAGTGCTGTCTGTGAGAAAATAAGAGGCAGACTCTCGATGATATGTGTTTGCCATGGGGTAAGTATTTCCTGGTGTTTTGAATCTCGGTTTCCTGAATTTTGTTATCGAGATGGAAAGGATCAAGATGACAACACCACATTACAGGTGCTTGTGGACAGGACACCCCCCCCCCCTCCAATATTCAACCCCCGAACTCGTTGGACACTTTTTTTCTCACAAATTATATTTATTACATAAATATTCATTATGTATACCATAGGTGAAAACTCGTCAAAAACCAAAAATAATCGTTCAATAAAAATACCACTATTAAACATTCCAAATAAAATCAATCGGCCGCAGAGTTCATCAATGAATCAATAAAATATATATGATGAATGATAAGAATGTATGAATGAAGATGTAGACCTCTCAAGATGAACCACATGCTGAAACGCAGCATGGATCTTTGTCTGACACGTGATAATACCCATGGTTTCTGCAGAATAGGCTACTCAAGGTGCGTAGTATGATGGAAAAAATGGAAGAAAAATCTTTGTTGTCACATCTGTAGCACATTCAAAACAATTTTTACTACAGTGTTGTTGAAAAACTTTTTATTCATCTCGCAACTTTTACCACTTCATTATTATCCGGAAATTAAAATCATGACGATTTCCTTTCATATCTTGAACACTCCCTGGTTGGGGAGTACCTATTGTACAAACTTTTTCTATATAACCATATATTATTAATTATCCAATTAGAAATGACAAAGAAATTGAAACAACAACAAAGCAAGTTTTTAAAATTAAGATTAGTTTACAGAACTATTGAAAAATAACGTTTCATTCCTTATAAAAGAGATCGGCCGCTGCTGCTGAAAAAGTCTTAGAAATGTGCTTGCAAAAATGACTGAACATTATTGGCGGATCTAGAAGGTGGTTCCTGGGGTTGGACTCTCCCCTTAATTTTTGCAGAGAGAGAGAGAGAGAGTTATGTAACATGGATATTTTATTCAACTAATATTTTGAATAAAATAAATACTTTGAATAAAAAAAATATTTCTAATAAAACTAGTGCTAATTGTAACGGGGACCGTTACAGATGTTCCCCAAACGCTCCCAGATTCCCTTTTGGTGCCATATTCCCTGTAAGCTTCATTAAATAGGACAAAATCTATGCATTTGAGACTTTAACAACGCCAAGTTCATTCAAATTTTAGCATTGCATGCGTGCGCATGTGAATGCAGGTGCGTAATGACCTTATCATCTTGTCTACACAATCTAAATATTTTTATATACTAAATATTAAAGTATTTAATCCAAAAGTATTAAAAAAATACGCTCATTCAAGTGTATTTTTGATTTATCTCATTTCATGTTCACGCACGTGCATACATGATCATGGTGACCATACATGTATCTTCTTGTAGAAGTCCTGTGTTCTAAATCCCACCCCGTTTGGTTGAAAACCAAGGGAAATATAGCTGTTTAAAGTTTCAGCCAATCAGATTACAGCGCACATACACTAACGTGTATGCATGTGCATGGTGACCATACCTTCTTGTAGAAGTTCATTATATCTATCTATGTTCCAAATTCCATCCTGTTTGGTTGAAAACCAAGGGAGTTATAGCTATTTAAAGTTTAAGCCAATCAGATTGTAGCACACGTGCATGCACGTGTTTTCATGATAATTGCTATACATCATTTTGTAGGATATCCTATTGCATGGCTATGTTCAAAATTTCATAGGATTTCGTCGAAAAACAAGAAAGATATAGAGACTTTAGTTTCAGCCAATCAGAGCGAAGCGCACGTGCATGCACGTGAGATCTTGCTATTTTGACCATGTCATTTTTTTTCTACGCTATTAATATATCCTTACATTATAAATTTCAAAAGATTTCATCAAAAAATAGAAAAGTTACGGCTATATTCAATATATTGGTCATTTCACGTGTTGCACGTGTGCGCTCTTGCAAGCACGTGCGCGCAAAATGGCATGTTGACAATGTCATCTTATCGAATTATAGCTACATGTATATCTACTGCTTGCTTGTTTGTGTTTTTGTTTTATTTGTTTGTTTGTTTGTTTTTGACTTGTCAAAGTCCCCCATAGAACTGTTGAAAACTCAGTATTGCCAGGTTTGAAGTCTCTATATGCATGAGTTGGACACCTGGACAACACCCCCCCCCCCCTTTTTTTTTCAAAAATTGCCGGATCTGCCACTGCAACGTCTTCATATTATAGCCAATATTTAAAATTTTATAATTACCAAAAATACAAAAGTATAAGAGGTGAATTATGGAGATTGTTTAATACTTTCGTAACTTTTTATCCTTCATCTCATGCATAACCCGGGATCTCTTTCACAACTGAATGATCGCATGCATCAGCAATGTTATTTTCTACGAATATTTGTCAATTTATACACATATCGAAGTCCCAATTTTGGTGGATAGGATACACTTGTAGCATATACTCATGGTGGACATTGAATTGTCAAGGTTAGTTGAGATTAAAACGAATTTTAGTCGGCGAATACTATTTTCAATCAGCGTTTTCGCTCTACCAGCCCTTGATTCAAAACAAATATCGTCGCTAATCGACAATCACTGCATTTTATGAGAGTGTAAAATTAACGAAAAATAAATTGCTCATGGAATCACATTCTTATATTTTAATAAAAATATCAATTATTGCCTGAATCGGGTCAATTTACTACCTGTGTACTGGAATTATTCGCATCTAATGCACAACCGGAAATCGATCTCTTTTGATTGTTATACACAAATGCTGGTTGTGCAATTGATCGATTAGCAGGCGTGATATCTTTATTATGGAAAAACTTACTTCTGAAAAACCCAGCGGGAGGTATTTTGTCCCGTTTGGACAGTTCTAGTTAACCCAGTCTTGTTTTATTTAAATTGCTTGTTGTTTTAGTTTGTCTCATGTTCTGAGTGATCTCCCAGACTCCATAGAGCCTGACCTCTCCCAGTTCCTGTTCAGTAAGATCTCGAAGGGTTTACTCTACAATGATGCAGGCAGCATCGCTTCCTTTGTGTACAGGTTTGATTTATTAGCAGGATATATATATTCTGTTGATTCCTTATTTGTCTAAGAAATGTATTTTTGTGTGTTATGTCATAAGATAAGTGTGAAGTGAAATCATATGTTATCATACATTTCCAAATGTGTTTACTGGAAAAAAAATACTTGTAAATGTAATAGCAAAGTATGTAGGTTTCAAAAGACAAGGTTTTGACAGTAGCCATGTTGTGATTGTTTGTTGGCACAGCGAGGGTGAACTACAAAGAGAGATGTCCTGTTATTTCTGTATGTTGAGTGGAGCAGACACCAGTAACGTTGACATCAACCTCGGGAGCGGAGACTCGGGTAAAGACACGAGTACCAAGTCCCACATCGTATGCTTCCTCACACTCCACGACAACATGCTAGATCAATATCCTCTCAGAGATTAATTGATCCTAATCAGAAACATTTAATACTGTTTTTATCATGAATAGAAAAACAATTAATTCTTGAATTAAATTATTATCTTTCCTTAACACAGCACTTTCAGACATGAATTGGATCTGTATGCTTTGGGACTCTTTAAATTCTTAGAGCAAGAAGTGAGTAAATACTCTGTATCTATAAGTACATGTACTTTTAAATAGTTTTGACATTAATATGTTACTGTCAGTATTTAAGTGCACAATTGTTGCATTTCTTAGATGACATTACAAGCATGTTGCACTGTCAGTAATTTGATAATGTTGTTCCAGAATGAAGCCCAGGTGAAGGTTTACCTGGAGAATTGGTCGTATGAGACAACGGAGTACCTCTGTAGAACCCTGTCAGCTGTAGGACAGGACGTCAAGTACCTGGTGTATGCTGTGAGTATACACTATCTTTAATTCCTGAATAAGCTCATACACAGTAAAAAATGCTGCCATAAATTATACAATGGATAATGGATGGAATAAGCATTTGAGTTCTATATTGTAACCATTAGTCAAAGTTTTTGATTCCTGATGAAGCTTACACAAGTAAAAAAAAATGATGCCATAAATTATAATGGAAGTAATAAGCATTTGAGTTTTATTGTAACCATGAGTCAAAGTGTGTAGATGGATTGTATTCTTCATAACTATGACATATATATATATATATATAATTTTCGAGATTTGTGATTTCTGACTTTCTTTCATTATATATATATATATATATATATATATATATATATATATATATATATATATATTACAAAAGTTTATGTTTTTATTCAGCTGTAACAGTAAGGAGGAAATGTATGGCTGGACCGGGAATCGAACCCTGGACCCCTGCATTTCTAGTCAGGTGCTCTATCCACTGAGCTATCCAAGCTGATATCCACGGTCCATAAAGCCCCAACTTCTACATTCCTCCCTCCTTAAACAGTCTTCGACCTCGAAGACACAAGTTCTAGGGCCCTGTCAGGAATGACTAATTTACACATACACTGTAACCTGAACAAAGCCCCCCACACTGGCCATCAAATGTAGTAGGAAAGGAGAAATGCACGAAAAAAACATATGGCTGGACGTGGAATCGAACCCGAGACCCCTGTATTACTAGTCAGGTGCTCTAACCACTGAGCTATCAAGGCCAATGTCCATGGCTCAATCCATTACATTCCTCCCTCCTTAAATTGTCTTCGAGGTAAACTCAAGTCCTTATTGCTCCTGGCAGGACTTTCACCTGCAATTCCAGGGTTGGTCATCAGCACCAAATCTGTAACAGGAAAAGAGAAAATGGATGGCTGGACCAGGAATCGAACCTGGAACTCCTGCATCTCTAGTCAGGTGCTCTACCAACTGAGCTATCCAGGCCGATATCCATGGTCCAAACCATTACACAGCTAAGAAATGTAGCTTTCTTGAACTAATATTTGATTGAATAGAAATTTTTACCTTTTCTTGTTTGTGCAGGCACTGATGGATGCCCAGGTTATATTTGATGGAGTGGAGAGCAGTCTACAGCAGGATTTACTCAAGTAATCTATCTTACAGCTCTCTTACCATATTGCTATTTATGTAAAACTCAAACTATTAAAAGGAGTTTTACACCTCTTGAGATGTGTAACAATGCTAAGTTAGTATTATAGTCCAAGAAAAGAAATTTCCCGTGATATGCCTTAAATGTGACATTTGTAGGTTTGTGAAGTCGTGCAGTTTGGCGGATATGCTGAGACAGACTGGAAGCCCCCTTTCTGGAAGTCTGGATATGCTGGCAGATCTCAATGTTCAGAGCTCAGATGACAAAAAGACAACAATTCAGATTAAAGCTGTTGATGGCAGTCTCAAATTCACCCCAGAATGTATGTAAAATCTTGTTTCGTAAAGTTGAAAAATCAAATCAGTTGGTTCAACATGTATCTTATTTAATTATCTTTAGAGAGGGAATTATAGTATTTGTTGTACCCATAATTGGGTTTGAATGTTTTTATACATTGTTATCTTGCAAAACCATTTCTGCTATAGAAATGTGGCAGACCAAATGATATACTTAGACCAGAGGTTTTTTTTTTTTATTTCTTGGAATGAGGATTTTTTTTTTATAAACTTAAAAGGGAGTACATTGGGAGATATAAAAAAAATGAACAAGATTCTCAATTGGCCATACATGTATTTAGCATTGCTATATTTGTCATTGTTGCATTGTCGTCAAAATCATCATCATCATCATTTCAATCTAGAAAAAAACATAGCATGTTACTTAAATCAGGTCAAGAAATTTGCATCACAAAATCATTGATTATATTTCTGATTTTTACATCTAAATTTTTATATGACTTGTTTAATAAATAGGAATTAAGAATATACAGTTTTACAGAATGAAAAGCAATTACCAAATTTAACACAAAAGTTATTTTCAGTATATTTTGATTTGTTAAAAATTTGCAGGATTATAACAGGAAATTTGCACTTAATTATTTTTTTTCTGATTCTCTTAAAAATTCAAATGTACAAGACTTATTGACACATCTTTTAAATGTTCTGATTTGTTTACTAGATTGTACAAGATTCTGTGAAGATTGGAGTAATTCAGTAAATAATTCAAAAACTGAGAACCCAGGACTGATTAGACAGGTGATAGAGGCAGGTAAACTAAAGGTAAGTCATAAGGACTGACCAGAGAGGTATAAAATACAATTAAACTGAAGGTAAGTCATAAGAATGATCAGACAGGCGTGAAATGCAGGTAGACTGAAGGTAAGTCATAAGGCCTGATCAGACAGGTGTGAAATACAGGTTAAACTGAAGGTAAGTCATAAGGACTGATCAGACAGGTGTGAAATACAGGTAAACTGAATGTGTCATAAGGACTGATCAGACAGGTGTAATGCAGGTAAACTGAAGGTAAGTCATAAGGACTGATCAGACAGGTGTAATACAGGTAAACTGAAGGTAAGTCATAAGGACTGATCAGACAGGTATAAAATACAGGTAAACTGAAGGTGTCTTAAGGACTGATCAGACAGGGGTAATACAGGTAAACTGAATGTAAGTCGTAAGGACTGATCAGACAGGTGTGAAATGCAGGTAAACTGAATGTGTCATAAGGACCGATCAGACAGGTGTAAGATACAGGTAAACTGAAGGTAAGTCATAAGGACTGATCAGACAGGTGTGAAATGCAGGTAAACTGAAGGGAAGTCATAAGGACTGATCAGACAGGTGTGAAATACAGGTAAACTGAAGGGAAGTCATAAGGACTGATCAGACAGGTGTGAAATACAGGTAAGCTGAAGGGAAGTCATAAGGACTGATCAGACAGGTGTGAAATGCAGGTAAACTGAAGGGAAGTCATAAGGACTGATCAGACAGGTGTGAAATACAGGTAAACTAAAGATAAGTCATAAAGACTGATAAGACAGGTGTGAAATACAGGTAAACTGAAGAGAAGTCATCATAAGGACTGAACAGACAGGTGAGGAAGACAGTTAAATTAAAGGTTAGTCATAAGGACTGATCAGACAGGTGTGAAATCCAGGTAAACTAAAGGTAAGTCAGAAGGACTGATCAGGCAGGTGTAGAATATAGGTAAACTTAAGGTAAGTCATAAGGACTGATCAGACAGGTTTGAAATACAGGTAAACTAAAGGTAAGTCATAAGGACTTTTCAGACAGGTGTAAAATACAGGTAAACTGAAGGTACTAGCTTGCCTTGTTATAGAAAGTGTTCATAGGTAGAGCATGTTGGTATTGAATCAACTGGGAGACAGAAACTAATATACAGGTGATATCATAGATAGGTTATAAGCTAACACTTGGTGTCCTCAAGTGGGGGAGGGGGGTCATAAATTTTTAATGTAATAATTAATTCTGTCATGTTTTATCATAACAAAAAGATCTTTTTTTTTTTTTTTTTTTACAATTTCTCTATATCTTTCAGTACACACAGAGTATAAACATGATGAAAAGATTGATGATGCAAGCAGAAAATGACTTTTATGCATTATACAGGCAAGTGGATATACTGTAAATCATTTTTTATTCATGAGAATTATCAAGTGATTCCACTTGATGGTGTTCTCATGAAAATGCAATTCTTGCATTTAATTTTAATATTAGCAAAGAATATATCAAAAATCAGCATTTGTGAAAATTACCAGTATCTCCATGTACTGTATGTAAAACTCATGAAAATAAGGTTGTTGCAAAGATTTATTGAAATACAGTATCTTAAGTATTTAATACTGTTTATTTATACATAGGGAACATAAAACAATTAAATTTTACAAGACGAGTTTATTGGGGTTTTGTTAGTGCGTGCACAGTTTAAGCATTTTATTAGGTCACCTGAGTAAACTCAGGTGACCTATTGCTATCCGTTTTTAGCTCACCTGAGCCGAAGGCTCAAGTGAGCTTTTCTGATCACATTTTGTCCGTCGTCCGTCCGTCTGTCTGTCCGTCTGTCTGTCCGTCCGTCCGTCTGTCAGTCTGTAAACTTTTCACATTTTCGACTTCTTCTCAAGAACCACTGGGCCAATTTTGACCAAACTTGGTACAAAGCATCCTTGGGTGAAGGAAAATTTAAATTGTTAAAATAAAGGGCCAAGTCCACTCACAAGGGGAGATTATCAAGAAAAGACAAAAATAGGGTGGGGTCATTAAAAAATCTTCTTCTCAAGAACCACTGGGCCAGAAAAGCTTAAACTTATGTGGAAGCATCCTGGTATAGTGTAGATTCTAAATTTTTCAAATCATGACCCCCGGGGGAAGGGCAGGGCCACAATGGGGAATCAAAGTTTTACATAGAAATATATAGGAAAAATCTTTGAAAATCTTCTTCTCAAGAACCACTGGGCCAGAAAAGCTGAAACTTATGTGGAAGCATCCAGGGGTAGTGTAGATTCTAAATTGTTCAAATCATGACCCCCTGGGGAAGGGCGGGGCCACAATGGGGAATCAAAGTTTTACATAGAAATATATAGGAAAAATCTTTGAAAATCTTCTTCTCAAGAACCACTGGGCCAGAAAAGCTGAAACTTATGTGGAAGCATCCTGGGGTAGTGTAGATTCTAAATTGTTCAAATCATGACCCCCGGGGGAAGGGCGGGGCCACAATGGGGAATCAAAGTTTTACATAGAAATATATAGGAAAAATCTGTGAAAATCTTCTCCTCAAGAACCACTGGGCCAGAAAAGCTTAAACTTATGTGGAAGCATCCTGGTATAGTGTAGATTCTAAATTGTTCAAATCATGACCCCCTGGGGAAGGGCGGGGTCACAATGGGGAATCAAAGTTTTACATAGAAATATATAGGAAAAATCTTTGAAAATCTTCTTCTCAAGAACCACTGGGCCAGAAAAGCTGAAACTTATGTGGAAGCATCCTGGGGTAGTGTAGATTCTAAATTGTTCAAATCATGACCCCTGGGGGAAGGGCGGGGCCACAATGGGGAATCAAAGTTTTACATAGAAATATATAGGAAAAATCTGTGAAAATCTTCTCCTCAAGAACCACTGGGCCAGAAAAGCTTAAACTTATGTGGAAGCATCCTGGTTTAGTGTAGATTCTAAATTGTTCAAATCATGACCCCCTGGGGAAGGGCGGGGTCACAATGGGGAATCAAAGTTTTACATAGAAATATATAGGAAAAATCTTTGAAAATCTTCTTCTCAAGAACCACTGGGCCAGAAAAGCTGAAACTTATGTGCACATGGAAGGATCCTGGGGTAGTGTAGATTTCAAAATGTCTAAATTATTATCAGTGGGGTAGGGTGGGGATGCATTATGTATTACAAGGGGGAAATCTGGTAAAGAACAGAATGGTCAAAGCTTCTCAGGTGAGCGATGTGGCCCATGGGCCTCTTGTCGTTGTGTGTTAACATTTGAACATTTTCAGCTTCTTCTTTGCAACCATTGAACCAATTTCAACCAAATTTGGCATAAAGCATCCATGGGTCAAGGGGAACAAAAATTGTGAATTTCATGATCCCTGCCCCTCTGGGACCTGAGGGGTGGGGCCAAAACTACTAGAATTAATGTAATCTTTAAAAATCTTCTTCTTTACTCCTGGACATCAAGCGGTCAAACTGTTTGCATGATTGTAATTAGCATTGAGTCCTCTACTAACATTGTGAAATTCATGGTCCTAGGGTCAGGGGTTCTAGTGCTAGGGCCGGTCTAAAATGAGTATATAGTGAAAATGCATTATTTCTTTGAAAATCTTCTTCTCTGCTCCTGGGTATTAAATAAACTAACTAAGTACATAGTAATGATAAGCAAGAGTGCCTCTACCAAAATTGTGAATTTTATGGCCCCAGGGTCAGGGGTTCTGGTGTTAGGGTGGGGCTCTATTGATTTTATAGTGAAAATACATGAATCCTTTGAAAATTTTCTTCTCTGCTCCTGGGTATTAAACAGATGAACTACCTATATAGTTATGATGAGAAAGGGCCTTAATCTTCCAGAATTGTGAATGTTAAGGCCCCAGGGTCAGGGATACCATAGAGGGGGAGGGGGCTGTACTTATATACTTAAAATGAATGAATTGTTTGAAATCTGCTCCTTGGTAGTAATGAAATATTTTTGAAAAGCAAGGGTGTCTTTTCAAAAATTGTGCAATGTGTGGACCTAGGGTCAGGGGTTCATGTGTGATAGGGGCACTACTGAATTATTACTGATTATTACTGAATAGTTGAAATGCATTTTTTGTTCCCCTACCCTGCCTTTGGGTATTAAGTAACCAAACGAAGCAATTGCTAAGTGTATAGTTATGATAATCAATGGTGCCTCTTTCAAAATTGTGAATGCCATAGCATCTGGCTTAAAACATGAATCAAATTCAATCACTGGAAAGTTGCTGCATGATGCTCAGGTGACCTATAAGGCCCATTATATTATATGTTATAACTATATGTTAACTTTAGATTCGTTTTTACAGGGCTTATCTGTTCCTGAAGAACTCTGGGAATTGTGAAATTCTTCTGAATTGTGCTCACCTTGACTCTATGCCAGAGACCTACAATGTGTTTAAATGTCTGGAGGAGTTTGTTAGAGAAACTGGTGTGAGGTAGAAATAGTGTTCTTATTAATAAAGATGTACATTATGTATGATTGTCTTTTTTATGATTCTACATCTGTGACACACAGGTTAAGGTTCCTCATTTCAATCAGCAACTAAACCCACCATTTAACATTGATATTCTAATTGTATTGTGACAATATAAATTAAACAGAAGTACATAGTGTACATACAGTACATGTACATAACCAATCAGGTTTTATATAAATTTTATTTCTTTTCAATATGAGCTAAGTAATAAGTATATTTTAGTATTATTACTTTGAAACTTAAAATCTCAGAAAACTAAGTAAAATACTTAGTACCTAAATCCACCTTTTTTCCAATTGCTATAAAATTTATTCAATTTATTATAATTCTCAAAAAAACTATAAACAAAACAAATCTGTGAAGAGGGCATAGAAACACAGACCCTGGAAATTTCACAAGTAGTCTCAGGTGTCTAGGAGGAGTAAGCATCCCCTGTTGACCGGTCACACAAGCCCTGAGTCCTTTTTAGCTCACCTGAGCTGAAGGCTCAAGTGAGCTTTTCAGATCAAAATATGTCCGTTGTCTGTCATCTGTTGTCGTTGTAAACTTTTCACATTTTCATCTTCTTCTCAAGAACCACCAGGCCAATTTCAATCAAACTTGCCACAAAGTATCCTATGGTGAAGGGGATTCAAGTCTGTTCAAATGAAGGACCACGCCCTCTTCCAAGGGGAGATAATTATGAATTAAAGAAAAATTAACGGCATTTAAAAAAAAATCTTCTTCTCAAGAACCACTGGGCCAAGAAAGATGAAACTCATGTGGAAGCATCCTCAGGTAGTGTAGAGGATTTTGTTCAAATCATGACCCCCGGGATGAGGGTGGGGCCAAAATGGCAGATCAAAGTTTTACATAGGAGTAAATAGGAAAAATCATTAAAAATCTTCTTCTCAAGAACCACTGAGCCAGAAAAGATGAAACTCATGTGGAAGCATCCTCAGGTAGTGTAGATTTAAGTTTGTTCACATCATAACACCCCCAGGTTAGGGCGAGGCCACAATGGCCGATCAAAGTTTTACATAGGAGTATATAGGGAAAATCTTTAAAAATCTTCTTCTCAAAAACCACCGTGCCAAGAAAGATAAAACTCATGAGGAATCATCCTTGGGTATAGTGTAGATTTTAGTTTGTTCAAATCATGACCCCCGAGTTGAAGGTGGGGCCACAATGGCCAATCAAAGTTTAACATAGGAGTATATTGGGAAAATCTTTAAAAATCTTCTTCTCAAGAACCACTGGGCCAGGAAAGATGAAACTCGTGTGGAAGCATCCTCAGGTAGTGTAGATTCAAGTTTGTTCAAATCATGACCCCCAGGGTAGGGCGGGGTACAATGGCCGATCAAAGTTTTACATGGAGTATATAGGGGAAATCTTTAAAAATCTTCTAAAGAACCACTGGGCCAAGAAAGATGAAACGCATGTGGAATCATCCTCAGGAAGTGTAGATTCAAGTTTGTTCAAATCCAGACCCCCTGGGGTAGGGCGGGGCCACAATGGCTGACCACAGTTTTACATAGAGATATATAGGAAAATTCTTTAAAAATCTTCTTCTTAAGAACCACTTGGCCAAGAAAGATGAAACTCATGTGAAATCATCTTCAGGTAGTGTATAGATTCAAGTTTGTTAAAATTATAACTTCAAAGCCATGATTAGTGATATTTATATGGAATTATCCTCAGGTAGTGTAGATTCTAGTTTGTTCAAATCATAACCCCCAGGGATAAGGTGGGGCAACAATGGGGGATTCAAGTTTTACATTAAAAATATATTTGAAAAAATCTTCTTCTCAAGAAAAGCAAAGCCATGATTAATGATACTAGTGTTTATATGGAAAAATTTTCGGGTAGTGTAGAATTAAATTTGTTCAAATTATAACCCCCAAGGGTAGGGTGGGGCCACAATGGTGGATCAAAGTTTTACATAGAAAAAAGGGAAAAAATACCAAGAACAGAAAAGCTATGTTTAGTCATATTGACATGTAAGCATCCTCATATATTGAAGATTTAAATTTATTCAAATCATGGTCCTTTTGGGGTAGGGAGGGAAACAATGGGGAATCAAATTCAAATTATTATGAAGTTATATATAGGAAGAAAATTTTTTTAAAAAAATCTGTTTATCAAGAACAGCAAAGCCTTATCCTGTATTAATATGAAGACATTCTCAAGTAGTATTAAAATTCATCCCCCCCCCCCCTTTTCAGTAAACTTTTCAGTTCTGATTTGATTTGTGCTTTTTCCTAGCCAATTTTCTCAGGTGAGCCATGTGACCCCTGGGCCTCTTGTTATTGATCAGGCAAACAGAACATTCTGTAGTCAAATTTAATTTAAAAACCAGAAGTCCCTGGCAATACCACAGCTCTACTGATTTTTTTTTACTTAACAAAAGTAGAGAAAGGTAGCAATTGGTTTTGAAACAATGGCAACAACAAAACTAGCAAATAAAACAAGATGTGTTTGTGATCCATTGATGCCTCCATATGGCAGCATGGTGAAGATTACGTTGTTGCCCAAAGTAAGATCTTCTCACAAGAAATGCAGTTGTGAAATACCGGTATGAAAGCCCTAGCACCACCTGTTCAAAGGTTATGGCCAAGGATAAGTTTTTGAAAGGTAGGTCAAACTCCAGGGTTAAGGTCAAGGCTTACAATTGTTGGTTTCTAGGAAAGGTCTTGTCACAAGGATTACATATGTGAAGTACGAAAGCCATAACCGTTCAAAAGTTATTGTTCAAGGTTGTTTTTTCGGTTAAGTATGAAAGCCCTAACCTAACCATTCAAAGGTTATAGCTAAGGTCAAAAAGATTTTAAAAGTAGGTTAAACTCCAAGATCAAGGTCAGAAATTCAAGGTTATTGGTATTGAATGAAAGGTCTTGTCACAAGAATGTATATGTGAAGTATGAAATCCCTAGCCCTTACTCTTCAAAAGTTATTGTTAAGGTTAATGGTTTTTCATAGGTCCAGAGAGGTCAAGGTCAAAACGTCAGGGTTATTGGTATCCAATAAAAGGACTTGCCACAAAGAATACATATGTGAAGTATGGAAGCCCTTTTTCTAACCGTTAAAAACTTATTGCCAAGGTTAATGTTTTTTCATAATTCCGGAAATCTCCAAGGTCAAGGTCAAAGGGTCAAAGTTATTGGTTTCCAATAAATGCTCTTCCCTCAAAGAATGCATATGTAGAGTTTGGAAGCTCTATCACTAACCTAAAAGTTATTTCTGTATAATATCATTATACAGAAATTATAAGCTTCAAATCTGTGCCTATGCAACTTTAATATATAATCAATAAAGCTCCCAAGCAGTGGTTCCTAGAGAGGTCAGTCAACAATGACATCACGATCCTGTATAATTGGCGGTGGAAGCTAGCAGAAGCAGTCAACATCGGGATTGACATCACGAGCCTGTATATATTTGGCAGTTGTAGCGTGAAGTTGCAGTCAACATTGACAATTAGCCTGCAGTGAGCGGTGAAAGCTAGCAATGACAGTCAACATTGACATCACCAGCTGATAGTTGTGGTAGCTAGCTTACACCCATATTTAATGAACTTGACTACAAAATATCTTTCAATGAAATAAATAAAGCAATAGGTAAACTAAAAAATGGTAAGGCAGCTGGTACTGATAGAATATGTAATGAAATGCTTAAACATGGTCAAACGGTCTTGGTACCAATATTACTGAAAATCTTTAATGGTTGCTTAACTCATGGATATTATCCTTCTTCATGGTGTGAAGGATACATTACTCCAGTATACAAATCTAACAACACTAATGATCCCAACAATTATAGAGGAATCACAATAACCAGCTCAATTGGCAAACTGTTTAACTATATTCTTAACTCAAGATTAGATAAATATTTAAAATGCAATGATAAAATCAATCCTTGTCAAATAGGATTTACAAAACAAGCTAGAACTTCAGATCATGTTTTTGTCTTGAAAACACTTGTTGAAAAATACTGCAAATCAAAACAAGGGAAGCTATATGCTTGCTTTGTTGACTTTCATAAGGCCTTCGATAGTATAAACCATGCTGGTCTGAAGCTTAAACTACTAAAAGCTGGTATTAGCACTAAATTTTACTCAATTGTTAAGGATATGTATTCTAAAAGCTATTCTTCTATTAAACTGGGTAACAAATTAATCGGTCACTTCCGTACTTACAATGGGGTTAGACAAGGTGATAACATTACAAACCTATTCAAGATTTATCTCAATGATCTATCAAATTATCTGTCAAATTCTAAAAGTTTTGTAAAATTAAACAATGATTCATCTATGTCCATTCATTGCCTAATGTATGCTGATGACATGGTACTTCTCTCCCCAACTGCTGAAGGTCTACAAGAAAAACTCGATATACTAAGTACATACTGTAAGGACTGGTGTCTCAAAGTTAATACAAAGAAAACAAAAATTATAGTCTTCAATTCATCTGGTAAACACATTAAAATTCCCTTCCATCTGGATAACAACAATATTGAATGTGTTAAACAATACAAGTATCTTTGTGACTGTTAATGCATCTGGAACATAATAATGCTAAAAATGATTGTTGTAACAAAGCCAAAAAAGCCTATTTCAAACTTCAAAAAGACTTTCTCACATTTAATCCATCAATTAGAACTGCTTTAAATGTATTTGACCACACTATTAAACCCATTATCCTGTATGGTTCGGAGTTATGGGGGTTTTTTGACCCAACAACCTCTAAATTTAAGAGAAATCCAAATATAACACTAGACAAAATATACCAAAGCTTAGAAGGCGAAATTCTAAATCTTAAATTTTACAAACATTTACTAATGGTTCATGGTAAAAGCAGCAATTTTGCTGTAAGATCTGAGCTAGGACGTTTGAATTTGCATTTTGATGTCATTAAAAATATGTTATTATACTGGCATAGATTAGAGAATCTAGATGGTGAATTTCCCTTGCTTAGTGAGGCTTTTAACTGCTCTAAAACACTACACCAAAATGGTTTTACTTCATGGTATTCTTGTGTTAAATTCTTACTTAACCATATTGATATTAAAATTAGTGATTTCCTAGGTATGTCAACCCCACAATTTAAAATCAATTTGAAAAGAATATTACTGAATTTCTATAAATTAACATGGGAAAAAGACAGGAATTTACATAAAGATGGCAAACTGTCTACCTTTACCAGCATAAAGACTAAATTTTGTTTTGAACCTTATCTAGATATTCTTACAAACAATCAACATAGCAGTTTTAACAAATTGAAATCATCGGCCCACAGGCTTAAAATTGAAATTGGACGTTACCAAAAAATACCTAGAGAGGAACGAATTTGTTCACTTTGTCATCACAACGAGATTCAGGATGAAATTCATTTTCTCCTTGTATGTCCTCATCTTAATGTACAAAGACTTGAACTCATAAATATTTGTAAAATTAAATGTAAAAATTTTCAGTCAACTGAAATCATATGATAATCAATTTTATTGGCTCATGTAATCAGTGGACATCCTTAGATCACTTGCTGGATTCCTTGGTAATTTACCTTAATTGAAGATATTGTGATAAGCATAAAAAAAATTATATACCTCTTTCCCAGTTTCTTGCCTTTAACTATATATATATATATATATATATATATATATATATATATATATGTATAAATTATATATATTTGTATGTAACTTACAATACGATACATGTATGTATATTCAGTATATCTCATATACTTTTTTTTTGTTTTTTGATTTTTTTAACAATTGCTCTTTATTTGTAATATCATCATCATGCTTGTTCTATCATTTGGATCCTCCTCCTTCTATTTGTAAATCTTTTTGCTCCTCCGGGGGCCCAAATTGGATTAATAAAATCTTGTATCTTGTATCTTGTATAGCACGCCAAATTCACAAAAATAAGCTAAACATAGTTTCACAGTGAATAAACTACCGGTAGGTTTATTGACTGTAAACTATAGTTTACAAACCGTAAACTATAGGTATGGCACGCCAAATTCACAAAAATGAGATAAACCTAGTTTCACAATTGATAAACTAGGTTTATCGACTGTAAACTATAGTTTACAAACCGTAAACTATAGTTAACGATTTGTTAAGTATAGTTTTCATCTGTAAAACTATATTTAACGGTCGTTAAGAATAGTTTACGAATGCTAATCTAAGTTTATCTGTCTGAATAAAGCGTTAACAATAGATTTTGTTGATAAACATAGATTCGCATTGAGAGATATAGTTTATATCGTAAACTATAGTTAAGAGTTGTTAATCATAGTTTCACAAATTGTGAAACTATATTTATCAGATCGTTTACTATAGTTAACGGTTTGTAAAACACAGTTTACAAATCGTGAAACTGTATTTATCAGATAATCTATGTTTTGCAATCGCAAATGATATTTTTCGGTGTTAAGTATAGTTTACGGTTGTGAAACAGATTATCGCGTTAACTATAGTTTACAGATGTAAATTATAGATTAACTTTGTTAACTATAGTTTACAGTCCGTAAACTATAGTTTACAACCGATAAACCTAGTTTATCGATTGTGAAGCTCTGATTTGCTCATTTTTGTGAATTTGGCGTGCCATATTTAGGTAAGAATTCGTTAACTATAGTTTTCATCTGTAAAACTATATTTAACGGTTGTTAACTATAGTTTACGAATGCTAAAGTTTATCTGTCTGTAATAAAACATAGATTCACATCTGTAAACTATAATTTACAATCGTGAACTATAGTTATGAGTTGTTAATCATAGTTTCACAAATCTTGAAACTATATTTATCAGATCGTTAACTATAGTTAAGAGTTGTAAACCATAGTTTACAAATCGTGAAACTGTATTTATCAGATAATCTATGTTTTGCAATCGCAAATGATTGTTTTCAGTGATAAGTATAGTTTTCGGCTCTGAAACATAGATTATCGCGTTAACTATGGTTTACAGATGTAAAATATAGATTAACATTGCTAACTATAGTTTACAGTCCGTAAACTATAGTTTACAACCAAAAAACCTATTTTACCGACTTGAAACCATGTTTAGCTCATTTTTGTAAATTTGGCGTGCCATAGCTAGCAATGGCAGACAACATTGAAATCATCAGCTTATAATTAGCGGTGGTAGCTATAAGTGGTAGTCAACAATGACATCACCAGCTTATAATCAGCGGTGGTAGCTATCAGTGGCATGCAGTCAACATTAACATCATCAGCTTATAATTATCAGAGGTAGCTATAAGTGGCAGTCAACATTGAAATCATCAGCTTATAGTTAGCGGTGGTAGTTATCAGTGGCAGTCAACATTGACATCACCAGCTTATAATTAGCGGTGGTAGCTATCAGTGACATGCAGTCAACAATGACATCACCAGTTTATAATTAGCGGTGGTAGCTTCAGTGGCAGTCATTATTAACATCACCAGCTTATAATTAGCAGTGGTAGCTATCAGTGGCAGTCAACATTGACATCACCAACAATATTTTGTATCAAATGATGAGGACAAAAGCCTCAAATACACCAGGTTCTATACTGTTCAATGTTTGCCATTTCCCTCAGTCTCTCTGAGCAAAAGAGTTAACAATTCGGTTTGTGAAATTTGTTTTATTGGAAATGATTTAAAAAGAGAACAAAAAGAGAACAATATTTAAGCGTTTGAAGTGTTCTACAGAGAATTTCAATGAATCAACTGATGACAGTTTATTTCTCCCCGTCATATTTTCCCGCCAATACTACTTCTGTTTCGGCTGGTATCTTTCGTTGTTTGGATTTAATTGGTTGCCATGGTTATCCAGATCCGGCTTAGTTCCGGTTCCGGAATAGCTGCTTGTGTGACCTTTATATTCCGGATTGTTTGGATTGCATTGGTTCGACCTGTTGTCATTGTTGGATTGGCTTTGACCTCGTCCCGACATTTTGGAGAAACCTGTAAAAAGAAAGCTCTTTTATAAGAATATAAGTTTCGAAATCTAAAATCTTTTTAAAAGAGAAAACTTTTGAAACACATTTTTAAGAACTTTGCCTCTCACACGTTTATGGTTAGGAAGTGGAAATGCTGTATTTATTTTCACTGAATATGGTTTAAATAAATCAATATTAGTAATCACAAGAAATGTATTGATCATCACAAAATACTAGTACACTGAAATATCATCCTGGACATATATCATACCCCTTTGATATATACATGTAGTTGTTTTAATTGTATTTGTGTTCTCTGTGATAACTTCGAAAGTTAGTTGACTTGATTTCTTGATCATTCTTCCAGAATGTAAATTTCGCCAAGCGATAAAGGTCAGGAGGTGGGGGGGGGGGGGGGGGCTAAAATGCATGTAGATTTCGTCCGTCTGTCTTTGTGTTTGACGTCATGCAGTAGGCGAACATTTTTTTAAATCTAGAGAACAAAGGGCGGTATTAGCGGTAATCTGCCGCAAAATTTCCAATGTTTTAAACTTTTCTTTTTCATCTTTTGATGTTCAGCATTGGCGTAAGTAAGATGCGAACTAAATTCAACAGGTACAAAGATGACGTAATTTTTCATTATGACGTCACAAATACGCTCTAAACATGGAATGTTAGCTAAAATTCGTTGAAAAATGTTTTGAAATAAGCGATCTTTCCAAAAATTAGACCCCTGCGCATGCAACAACCAATTTTATATTTTGCATGTAAGTTCTTTGGTATATCTTTTATTCATACAATTAAAATGGTGTTGGTTGTCACTTGCGCTCAATATGAATTTTGAAAAATTCAATACGAAAAAACGACATTTTACCAAACTTATTCACTTGATATCGATGTTCGTGACACACATCTGACGCAAAAAAGGGTTATTTTTACAATTTAAATTCTATCAATAGTCATTGGTAATCTAATGTACAGATAATGTTAACGGTGATAAATAATAAACATTTCATGAATGGAAAATCTTTTGAAAACAAGGATTAAATTGTATTGAAATACACCACGTGCTCTGATGCCGTTTTTTTAAATTCCACGTGCGTAGTACCCAATAATAGTACTGAAGAACGATACCAAAATCTCTCAAGATTAAATTAATTCCATAAAAATAACACGACGATATTTTTTATTTTCAGAAATATTTTTTTTCCAAATCTGTCATACCTCAGTATATATTTTAAAATTTTCCCCTACGAGTAGTGAAACTGAATTCTCTTTAATTATTATTACACAGTGCACATGTTATGTAGCCTTTATGTAATATTGCACGCGTGACTTTCAAATATATCTCGTTGAATAAATATCACAGCCACATTGAATAAGATAAACAATGAAATAGTATTTTAAAAAGTTTTACAATAAATATAAACTTTTAAATTAATGCAGACATAGCCTTCAAAATATGGACATTTTACAGGTAAAATCACTTAACTACATCCAGCCGTTAATTGTAAAAAATATCATGTAAAACTGTTATACTTATATTTAAAAGACGTTTAACATTAAAATCCTAATTGAAAAAGAATCACTTTTCAAGAAAAAAATCCCGATATCTATGTATAGTGTCCACACTAACAGCGTCGCCCTTGCCCATTGCACTGCACACAGGTACTTGTGGACAGGAACCCGCCCCACCCACCCACCAGGAGCTCATTAGACTTTTCTTTCGCAAATTATATTTATAACACTTATTCATCATGTGTACAATAGGTAAAAAAAGTAATCCCCCCCCCAAATAATCGCTCCACAGTCTCTCTTATACTGTAAAGTGGGGTATGTTTTGTGGAGCCGGTGCATGGGGGGCTTCCCTCAAAAAGTATCTGTGGAATTACGCAGTCATTTTACCTATTTCAAAATTATAGTATATTTTCAGCTGGTTGATCGGTGGTGATGGCAACTCTTTTGAAGTATGTTTATAAAAATTTAAAAGCGTTTAAATAAATTGATATAATATAAAAAAAAACCAATAATGCACACGTAAGTGGAATTTTGATATTTATCCGATATTGGTCAGCGATATCCACCAGTTAACTGGGCCTCCCCCAGGGCATGGTCTAAGCTCTTCAAGTCAGGGATCCCCTGGTTTTCATCCTTAGGATTTTAAAGATTTAATTGTTAAAGATTTTCACAATGAAATGGAAATAAAAGGAATCACTGTCTAGTTAGTAGAGTATGCCAGGAACATCAACGATAGCTGGAAACGTGGGATAATTGTCCAACCGTAGCTCTATAGCAATATTTGATTTATAATTATAAATCACGCTAAGCAAAAATAAATATATAAATATAATATTTAATTTTTAAAATATATTTCTGAAGTCTAACGGATTAAAAAAAAAATATATATAAACTGCTTCTAAGCACTATTAATTTGATATTTCCCCACTTTTTCATAAGCCTAATAGAAACATAAAAAAGCAATAAATAAATGCGTAGAAAAACATTTTTAGTAGCATATGGAAAAAAATAAATATATGTAATAAAGAACTATTATAAAAACTTAATGAGTTGTAATTGTGCTGGATTATTTAATAAAATTGGACATTTTCTGGATATATGTTAAAAAATATTTACCTTAAACCTTTATGAAGTAGAAGTCTACAGTTGATTTTCAGTGGCGTTAACGGAGAATAAAATGGATGAGTTCGTTTTAAATACTCTATCCTGTGATTTTTCATTGGCTGATAATTTTAGTCTACCTAGTAATTCCTGGAAGAAAAAGAGAAAGCTGATAAGTTTAACCCATTTATTTTCAAAATATGACTGTTAAATAATGGATAAATAAGATAAATATTTTTCAGTGGCGTATCTTAGCAAATAAAGGAAGAAGGAAAAGAGAAAACAAAAATGGATATTAAGTACCGTGGAATATTCCAGATGGTGCTGAGAGAGAGAGAGAGAGAGAGAGAGAGAGAGATTAACATTTATAATAAAAACGCTTTTCTCTCACCCAATGAATTGTTCATTAAATCATTGAGATATTCTAATCGATATAAAACACAGTGTAAAAACATAACAACAAAAGAGATGCAATGAATACGATATTTTATATAGATTTTTTACATGTACATGTAGGTTATTTAAATATTTTTTTTATATACAGGGAAAATCCAGTCTATGTGGTAAATTTAGAATTTAGTCATTTTATATTAATTAACTAAAAAAAGAACAAAGTCATACTGTATTAATTATAGAACCTAGTACATGGCGGTCATTTTTAAAATTCTTTATATAATTGACGATAAATTACAGAAGCAAAAAACAATGCAGCATTGTACTGTTTTTAAATAGTACTAGATTTCTGTAATAACTAAATGTTCATTGAAAGATTGGTTGTTCTCACCCCATCCCCATCCCCCTTTTACTAACTATTTATTTGACGCGTTACTGGAATTTCAACAACCTCTTTTAAAATTGGAATGTCGTAAATTCTATGGTTCCTATAATGACCTTGCTAAAAAAAATATAACTATCACTGGCTGGTATTTTGGTTGAATTCTTTTATACTAATCGATAGACCTTTGTTTTTAAACTAGATTTGACTACGGAATATATCCTTGATCAATTCACAGGGCTATCGGCTGCTGTGGCCGGACAACAGGGGGATGCTTAACTCCTCCTAGGCACCTGATCCCACCGCTGGAATTTTCAGGGATCCGTGTTTATGTCCTCTATACAGATTTGTCACGTATCAGTATTCCGTTATCTTTACCTCTACCGTCTGTATACTTCACCTTCCTTGTGGCACCATCGGCTTTTTATTCGCCTTATTCGCCCATCTTCTTCATTACCTATATACATCTCAGTATACCTTAATTCGCCCCCTTTTAGATTTCTACTTTAACTACCACAAACAAAAAAATAGATATATTTATTTTGATTTGTAATGACATGAATAATATATGAAATTTTAAGGCTTGTTATTTTTCCAGGTACTTAGATTTGAGATTTAAGCCTTCTATATAATTCCATACAAAATTTTGCACAATTTTTTAACTTGATGACAAAATCTTATAAAATTCTCCAACTCTACTTGGTAAACATTGTTTAGGTTGTCAATTTAAATGTAAATCTATGAGAAAAAATGCTGATTTCTGAAAAAAGTTTGTTTGTGTTATTTATCCTTAACTAAAAAATAGAAATTTATTCCCTTAATTAGTCTGAAGGTTATATGTTTTAAGGCTTGTTAATTTTACAGGTTATTTCAAAAGGATATCACAAGCGTGCACGCATTCAGAAAGGGAAAGATATATACTGCCGTACATGTATCTCAATTTAAGGTATCCGATCCATATAAGAACATAATTTTCTAACCTTAGATATCAATCCTGTATTAAATACTCTAAAACCAATTCAAAGCAGTTAAAAGTAGATAGAGATTTTAAAATATGATTCACTGAGCAGTAATTAATTAATGAAGAATGTATTGAGGTCTATAGGGACGAGCCAAGTTTTGAAAATAAAAATCTAAGTACTAAGAATATCAAAAAATGCTATGGTGGAAAGATGTATATAATTATTTAGAATAGAAAAACGATTGAAAACAATTTTTTACCCGATAGATTTTTTTTACAATTAATTTTTATTGATTATTGCTTTTAAAGAAATTTTTGATTAAATACCTGTTGTACAATTAGTATGAATATGTTCAAGAAAGGTCATAATCTTCCCAGAAGTTTATTTACATTCTTCTCTTACATATTGATATTAAAACATTTGAAGATTATGATTTGCTGTGGGAACATAACCTAATTAATCCATAACACAATATATATTGTTGTCCAGTCAAAATAATACGGAAGCCCATTAGTGCCAACCTGTATTTATAAAGGAAAAGCAATGTATACTTTATTTATGAAGCGAACATGGATCAGACATATAATATTTAATCTCTTAAGATGCAAAGTAAACTGAATATATGAAGGTATTGTGCCCAGGTGTATGAAAAAGCAAATTTCAGCCCTTCAGGCCTTTGATTTAGAATAGAAAAAACGATTGAAAACAATTTTTTACCCGATAGATTTTTTTTACAATTAATTTTTATTGATTATTGCAAAGGGGGATAACTCTTGAAGGACAGGTCAAGGTCATAAAGTAGGACACATTCCTCTCTTACATATTGATATTAAAACATGAAGATTATGTCTACATGTCCTGAGTATTCAAACAATATATATTCGTTGTGCATTCAGATTCATTGGATCTGGGGCTATTATGGATCGCATACCTTAAAATAATGAGATGCAAGATCAAAAAAAAAGGTCATATATCAGACATTATTATGTTTTTACCAAATTCTTTAGGGGATTGTGTAAATACATGTATAAATTGAAGGGTTTATTACTATTTGTTACCAACCGTAATTTACCCTGATAAAAACGTTTCTTATCAGGTTTTCTCCGTCTACGCCTAAGTGAACTGTTTCTGTTGCTAACTATTTCTTGCTAAACAGCTCATAAATAAACCGATAAATTTTAAGGCCCCTGTAATCGACGATTCGGAGGGGGGGGGGGGTATATAGTTTTTGCCCTGCTCGTCCGTGTGTCTGTCTGACAACAAAAACTTTAACCTTGTCCATAATTTTTGGAATGGGTGGGGCTATCATATTTCACAGCTGTATTCCTTGTGACAAGTCCTTTCTTCGGGTACCACCAAATTTGACCTCGTGATCTTGAAGTTTGACCCACTTTTACCAAAAATTTCCGAATTTTGATCATGGCCATAACTTTTGAATAGTTTGTGCTAGAACTTTCATACTTCACAAGTGTATTCGCCGTGACAAGACGTTTCATTGGGTATAAAAATATTTGATCTTTTGACCTTCATTTTAGAGTTTGACCCACTTTGTAAAAAAAAAAAAATTGACCATAACTTTTGAACCGTTAGAACTACGAGTTTCATATTTCATAGGTGCATTCCTTGAGACCAAACCTTCTTCTGGGACCAACAATTTTGACCTTTTCTCCTTGACCTTGGAGAAATTTCAATCCACGCCATAAGTTGCCATGCAGGGACATCAGTGTTTCACAAACACATCTTAATGCAAAGTTGGTATAAAAAAAAAAAATATTTTCCGCCCTCTGCTATTTTTTTTCTCTCTACTTGTTTATTTTTTCCTAATAAATGGCACAATTTGGGTCAGCGCCAATTCTCTGGGTTTATTTCCATTTTTTATCTTTAAAAAAACCCAATGTTTATAGAAAACAGCATGGTCTACTTTTATGCATTAAATCAGGATACACGTGAACTATAAATAAAATAGATTTTTTAAAAATTGTTGTTCAAGGTCAAGTTACATAAGATTAAAAACTGTGCGGCTTTGAAGAATGCAGTGCACTTAATAGATTTAAAAGTAGAACAAAGACACAGTTGAAAATAGCCTTTACGTATGTCAACGCAAATGTACATTTAAATTTCATGCGCTAGTAATTTATAAAATAAAATAGATTTAAATGGAATTTAAAAAAAATAACCACTTCATGGATCAGGGTCAAAAACTAATGATTGGAATTTTCTGAAAATTGATTTAAACGATAGCTCCTTTCATTTCTCTGAAAAAAAAAATGAATCCAATACAGTTGATCAGCGTGTTAGACTTACAAAGAGAAGTTTAATTCAAATCAAGCCCAAAGTACAAGTCTAGAGACATGAAAAACATTCACCAGTTTTCATATTCCTAAGATTTAAAATCACAATTCACTAATACTTACTAAGTATCTGTAACATGGCTAGGATTTTTTGTAAATATTGTAAGTATATGGAGGTATTATCTCCGTATAAGTCTCGGTTGAACTCGGTTGTAAAAATTTGTCAATCATTTTGTAACACAGAAATCATTTGGAGCTTCAGAGCTTACTGATCTGGACTCGGTCTCATGAACGTCATTCATTAGTCAAATATTGGATGGAGACGTAGCATCAGATACCTGAATGTTATAATGAAACATCCACTATATGTATCATTAATGAAACTTAAGAACAATAGAGCATTTACAATATATATATATATATATATATATAAAACAGCTTCAAAGGATATTGCATAATACTTAGGCTCCGCCAACTGGTTGAGGTGATAAAAACATAGCTCATCAGAGATTTATACAAAGTTCACTTCAATAAAGATTGTTTTAGTATGGCAAAGCTCCTCACTAAACTACATGTAAGAACCTTGTAGTGCATCCCTAGATGCAAAATTTATAAAATTTGCTTTGATATGTGTTGGTCAGATCCAACATCCAAAGCAAGTCATGTGCATCTTTAGATGTATATTCCAAGTCAGTTTGGTCAACATAATATAGTTACTTGAAATGAGACCTGATCCAGTAACTTTAACTTCTTTAGCTGAAATTACAGCATCTGAAATCTTGACTGGTACAATGAAACATACTTAGAAACATTGTAACTACATACATCTCTGATAAATACATGTATAGGTCATAAAATGTCTTGAAAATAAGTGAGAACATTATCATGAGAACAGAGACATACACACACAGTGATACATTGTGCTATATTTTGAATTGGGAGATAATGTTCCAGCTAATGGACTCAACCAATTTGTATTTGTTTTAATTATTTTTGTTTAATTTAAGATTGATGTTTTGGGCAACATGGAAAGAAATTTTGACTTCTACTACCAAAGTGAATATAATCTAACTGATTTACAAAGTAAGCTGTCACTGATTACAAAAGTGGTCCCAAACAAAATGTTAAGGTCTAATTTACTTATTACCAAAATCAAATGATACAAGCTGCTTTATCTCTCATCAAGTTTGTAATCTAACTACCCTCAACCCTGTGCTCATTTGGGAGGACACTTCAGTAGATAAACTCTATCTATTTTCCACAATACTTAATAAATGTATCAGTAATAAA